AAATATGACATTATGGTCTTGTAGACAGATTTAAAGGCACTGGTTTTCCATAGCAAGGAAACATTTCCTAGCACACCTCTACGGAATGACAAAGCTACATTAAGCCAGTTACAAGAACCTTCAGGTTTGGAGTTCCCTTCACCTCTCTGGGCTGCTGCTCCTATGCTTGATCACACTCACACTAAAAATAGTTTTCTAAAACTTCACTGAACTTTCCCACTTTGCAGTTTGTTTCTGTTGTCCTCTTTCCTTTCACAGTGTGCCTCTGACAAAAGTGTGGATCTACTTTACAACCTCATTAGGATGTTAGAGATATCAGTTAGATCCACCTCCCTGCCAAGCTTTCCCACCCCAAGACCAAATAACTGAAGTAGTCAGCATCTCCTGTATATCCTGTGCGTATTCTGCACTGAGTTCTCCTTCCCACCATAGCCATCCTTTTCACCAACAGTTATGCTGCAGTGGGTGTGGCAATGTGGCACAAGTCCTGTAGGAGTGCTCCTGACTATGAGACACAGAAGCACAATGAGAAAGGAAGCTGAAATACAAGGCATGGCTTTATTTTCAAATGTTGCCAGCTCTGACCCCTCAGACAGGCTGGCTGCTCTCCAGGAGTGGGATTTTTTAGACAGTTGCTGATGTCAGCTTCACCTTGGGGGGAAGCAGAGCCACGCTGCTGCAGCACTGACCTCATTCCCTTTTGTATTTACCTCATTCTCTTCTGCTGGAGGAAGGCAGTTCTTCACAAGGAGAAGATATCTGCCAGGCTGCAGAAAAGGACAAGGGCTTAGGGGATAGAAAACCATGAAGCTTCTTGTAGGGAGAAACCACAAGGAGTATTCTACATTGTTCATTGGGCTGGGTTACCTCCTGCCAAGGCCTTCAATTATCTTTCCAAGTGACGCCCAATGCTTCCTTCATCACCAAAGAGCTCTTCTGTTTGCATCCTGTGTCTGCATGCTGGGCTTTGGCTGCCCCCAAGAACTCTTGGCTTTTCTCACATGCTGACAATTGTTCCTGTTGCCTTCAAGGCAAAAATCCCAATTCTCACAAAAAAATACGGTGCAGCAAGCACAGATTAGAATCTGGAACTGACCAGGGTCAGACAATGCTTCAAGCAACTTCTCTGCCTGTCTCTTCCTCCCCACCCCTTCCCTGCTGTGTTTTCCTCCCTTTATTTGCTAGCTCTATAGAATTCCCCACCAGGCAGGACCCTTGCATCCTCCACCCTAGAGAGACTTGGACAAGAGACAGTGCCTGAAAAGTGTGTGAGAATATTCTCTCTGCAGGGATCCTCCCTCTTTTCCATTCCATTCCCTCAAGGATTGCTTAGAGGAGAAGAAAGGGTTGGTGCAACACCACTCAGAGCCTGTGAATGGACGTGGTATTCACCGGTCTGACGCCAAGGGCTTGGAGACCAGATGAAGACATGGATTTGCCAGTGGGAGGGGCATGGGAGAAGAGATGGAGGGAAAAACCCATCCCTCGTCCTTTAGCAACATCCAGAGCAATACAACATCCCTTTACAGATAGTGAAGTCACAAAGCTGTACAGATATTTTGATAGTGTAAGTTTTTACCTGGCACATGGGCACATCATCTGTAGGCTGCTTGTTCTGTGAAGCCTCAGGACCAGTGTGTCATAGGGACAGTGGGGAAAGGAGGCAGCAAAAGGGTCAGGGCACTGCCAGAGCCTGAGAAAGAGGACCTGGATGAGAAGTGGCTTTCCTGATTCATGTGTCTTCAGTTTCCTCCTTCTGATCTCACCACCTTGTAGATGAACAATGAGCAGTGTGCAGAAATACTATCATCCAGAAATAGTATTGTCTCTTCAGAGAACTACTTATTATCATAGTAATGTGTTACCTTGTTCATGGCACAAAGCATGCAAATGCATTGATCAGATCAACTCACACAGCACAGACAATTCATCCTGACCCTAAGATGAAGGGAACATATTGCATACTACAACTGCCTAAAGAAAGGTTGTGGCGAGGTGGGGGTCAGCCTCTTCTCCCGTGTAACTAATAATAAGACTACAGGGAATGGCCTCTATTTGTGCCAGGGGAGATTCAGGTTGGACATTAGGAAATACTACTTTTCTGAAAGAGTGGTCAGGCACTGGAATGGGCTGCTTGGGGAGTTCATGGAGTCACTGTCCCTGGAGGTGTTCAAGAAATGTTTAGGTGTTGTAACGAGGGAAATGTTGGTGATAGATGGACGGTTGGACTGGATGGTCTTAGAGGTCTTTTCCAACCTTGGTGATTCTGTGATACCGTTGCATCTCATGTGTTTTTCTCTTGTATCCTGCTGCTGACTTTGTCCTGGCTGGCTTAGCCTCGTCAAAGATTTGCATTGGAGAGTAACAATGGGCAACACCCTCCACCCTTTCTCCCTAGCACTTCCCAATTCTTTCTCAGCTGAGGCTGTGGGAAAAAAAAATTACACCCTGAGCTCTTCACTCTGAGTGGGACATCCCTGAATGGGACTGCCCCACCTCAGGAATATTTCCAGCAGAGGATGAAGGAAACAGATCTCTGTAGGTGAGGAAATCAAAACCTACCCTGTGGTCTCTGAGGGTGAAAATGCAGAATGCATTGACCGTAGAAGAGAACACTGATCTTCAAACAGTAAGCCGGACCATGACTGGTGAAACCAGGCCCTTCCAAGTCAGTGGCACATTCCATTCACTCATACTGAACACTGGGCTCTAGGCCAAGGCATGATTTTGATTTAATAACAGAAAAACTATGTTTTATTATGGAATGTCTGCCTTCGAATCATGAAAAGTCACTGAATAATTTATATTGGAATGGATCTCTGCACTACTCATATTCAATCTGTTGTTCACACGGACCCCAAGTCCTCTTTAGGAGAGTTGCCGTCTAAAAAGTAAGCCCCAGCCCATGCTGCCGCAAGGAGATATTCCATCCCACACACCAGACTTCATTTCCCTTTGCTGAACTGAGACTCCTGTCAGCTCATTTCTCCAGTCTGCTAAGGTCTCTCTGAACAGCAATTCAGCTCTCCAATGTGTCATCCACTTCCCAGCCCCAGTTTAATATCAGCTGCAAGGTTTTTGATGGTGCATTCCCTCCCATCATCCAGGTCATTAGACTGTATGCTCCCAGTCCTGGCCTTGAAGGGGTCGTGCCTATAATCACCTGTTGTTGGGACTTTTTGATCACAACCCTTTGAGTTTAGTCCCTTGGAAAAAATCAATACCTCTTCTCCCAAGAAAGACTTCAAAGAAGTAAATAATTTGTTACACTGTCAGGTTGCTTGACACAGCTGACCAGAAAGGATGGAATAGAAATGGAACGATTTATCATAGGTTTATTAGGGAAAGAAGGTATATTTCAAGGCCATGTATTTGGCACTGTATGGAAGCAAATGTATCTGAGAACAATTAAAATGTTAAAACTCAAATCATCATGAAAAATAAAATGTTCTCTAATCACTTCAGTTCCTCTTCTCCCCGTACAATTTACAATAACTACTGGAAGGAACTCAAAAGGTATTAGTGCTATACTAAATGTAAGCTGGAAGGAAATCTGGGCTGTCAGAGCAGTGGAGACTTACTAATATGAGCAAAGATATTGAGGTGTTACAAGGAAATGGTAAGACTACAAAAGTTATTTGGTAAACCATTAGTGCTAGATTGCCCAGGACTACTCGAATTTTACATTATTACAAGCCTACAAATGCCTGCTAAAAATAATTATAGCTTTCAGTCATGTCAGCTTTTGCTTTCTGATCTGGGTGGAAGAGATTTTGGTAGCATTTTAAAGGAAGTGTATCCCGATTTGTCTTAGGATGGATCAGAGGCAGAGGAGTTTCCTGGTACTGGAGTCCTGTAATGGCTTGATGGCTTTGGCTTCCTTTTGGAAGACAAATAAGAACAGTTTCCCATTTGCAAGTTACCTGTCCCATGCCTTCACAAAGTGAAGTGAAAGATAAGGAAGGAACAAAGAAATAAATAACATACTCATTTGACAAAAATTGATTGAAGAAAGGTTGCACTAAACCTGTCCTTATCTCAGCCTACAAGCTTATTTTTTCATTGTATTTCTTCTCCCATACCATTGAGGAGGGAGAATGAGAGAGTGGTGTGGTGAAGCTTAGCTAGTTACTGGTGTTAAACGACCACAACTGTAGAGCACAGAAAGTTTAACTGATGCTGATAAACTGCTGGATAAGTGTTTCCGCTGGAATACACATTGCCACTCTAATATGGACAGAGGAGTAGATTCCTCTTGAACATCCAGTCCATAGGTTGCCAAGGAAATGGGACACGGGTGTTTGATCAATAATTCGTATATCAGATCAAGAGCGCTCACAAGAAGAATACAGATCCTTCCTTGGTTAATATATTGTTCATAGCAGTATCTCAAAGAATTAACAGCACCTTTTACATAAAAATTCCAAATATATTTATCTAGTGAACAAGAAAATCTCAGCATCTCTAAGCAGTACTTCTGCAGATGTACAGTACTGTATTTATATAGATATACATAGATATATATATCAAAGTGAATTTACACTGTGACCTGGTGATTAGTCCAGTAGCGAGTGAACCCACAAGAACCCACAGATAAGTCTTCAGGAAAATATACTGCCTTGGGTGGGTGGCCAGCTACAAGGCATGACTGCATAGGAGAGCCCTGGCAGCACCCGCTGCTGGCAGCGAGGGACAGTTTAGCATTCCATTCAGCAAGCACAGCATGCTTAGGTCATTCCTGCAAGATATAAGAAACTTCCATATTTTCACGGCTAACACAGTTCTACTTTTCACAGGTCGCACATGTTGCAACCACCTCTCTCTGCCTTAATGATCCAGAGGAGGAAGGTAGGACACCAAACCTAGATCCTGTCCATGCTTCCAAGTGGAAGTCAAACAGTACCAAAGATTTAGGCTCGTGAAGGTAAGACCATGTCTGGTTTCGCAGAGGTTTCTTGAGCAGATGGTCTTCACTGGTCACTCGTTTTCTTAATTTGTGATGTTTGTTTGTTTGTTTTTTTTTCCTTTTCTGACTCAGCTGCTCACAGTCCTCTGGTAGAAATCATTTGAAAATCGTGGTCAGCCTGTCCTGCCTAAGACTGCTACCATTTCCCTGGGATGGGCACACCGCACTCATACCAGCCCACATAGTAGTAGGGAGTTGTATATCCAATGCGTCCAAACGATACAGGCTCCTGGCGGTACTGGCGGTAATACCCTGTTGGGAAAAGACACAGGAATCTAACAGAAGTGACAGACACAGTGGGAGTCAATCCTGCAGTCCAAATTAAAGCATACAAGCTGTCTGCTAGTGAGCTTTATCAAAAGGCTATTTGTTAGACCTGGTATTTGGCCTAGGTCTTTGTTGAATGATTTAACTCTGGTCTTTTATATTTCCTGAGTTTTGATCAGTTTTATTGTTCAAAATCTTTTCAACTATTGTGTAATGCTGTGGTCTGCCAAAGAGCTTCTGCATTTCACTCCAAAGGTGGCTGTATTTCAGCAGCTTTTATGAAGTTTGCAGACCAGTTTAAATATATGAAGTACTCTAGGGCAAAAAATACCATCAAATCGTATTATCTCATCGGGCTCAAGAGACTATCAATAAACATTAGCTTTTCACAAAATAAAAAGGTATCATTTCATGCAGTAAATATGAATTTAAGCCCTTTCTGCCCCATCTGATAGACTTCTTCATCTGTAGAAAGAATGCAACTGCTTAATGCGTTAGGGGAGGCTCAGCATTCTTCTCTGCATAGCTTGTGCACTGGAACATCTGAAACACTGATATGTTGTGCCAATAACGTAATTCCTGTGTGCTCTTTATCTCAGTCTCCTAGACCTACTAATACACAATTCTTCATTCTCCTTCTGAACACAGAAATGCAATACTTCTCAGGAATATATAAATATCAGTGAGTACTTCAGTTTCTTCCTGGTAACACCACCATGAATATAAACAAATAGCATGGAAACTATTAAAGCCAGCTGAATAGTTTATATTAACTGATTTTTTTTTGAAAGGACTGGCTGAATTTCATGATTGGTTTTCTTTTGTGGAGTAAGACATCAGTCTGTTGGCTGCGTTAGTTGAGCAGTGTCTCAGAGGAACTCTCTCAAGGTGAGAATTTTCACTTGGAAAGAAGTTTCTACCAGGCCAGAATAAAAGTGCTGCAGACTGACCTGACACACTCCTATGTGTTTTGTACTGAATGAATTGGTCAGAAACCATTTGCAGAACAGTCTGTTGAGTTGTAGCTGTCTATTGTGTTAAGTGGAAGAGTTTCTGCCCTTTGATTCAATAAAGCATGTCTTCAAATTGGGAAAAAAAGATTTCATAAGACTATAGAATTTCTTTTTCTGCTTTTGTAATCTGTTCCTGTAAATTATTTGCATTACATGCCCTTCTTTCTCTTTCTTCCTGTGCAATGCTCCCTACCCCTGAACCCTATAGATAGAGTGACAGGCACTTGGCCAGCATCCCACTCCCACACTGCCGTACCTCGGATGGTGGGCAGGGCTTCAATGTACGACTGAGGTCCTGTTCTTCCATCCAGGTGTGAATCCACAAACTGGCAGTGGTCTTCACCCCTTCCCCAGCTATCCCCAATGCTATAGAAGGTATCTGAAGAATAATAGAGAAACATTATTTGATTCAGCATTATTTTTGTTTGGGATGCTCTTCTACCACTGTGGAAACAGATGTAAAAGAAATATAGTTAACACGCAACATCACCTGTGAACAAACAGTGGCAGAAAAGAGAGAAAATCTACTTTCACATTACAGAAATAGAAATTATGGAAAACAAAAACGTTTTATAACTCAGTAAGGACCATTCTCCATTTTACATGTTTATGGACACATTGCACCAATGATGATGGATACAGAGAATTTCACTACAATACATGTAACACAACAGCAGCCACTGAGATGATCCCAGTACCCCAGATCAAAACAGGGAAAGTTTGGTTCATTCTCTCTCAGCGAACAGATCCATACTGTTAACCCTTGGGAGTACCACTTACTCAGCCACTGTGATACCAGCTGCCTTCTCCTCCATTCCTATCTGAATCTGCCCTGGAGATTTCAAGGGCGTATTGCTCTGTTTGGCCATGTGCATCCAGCGACCATCTGCCTATGGGGCAGGCATGAATCTTCCCAGGAAGACGTGTGGGGAGCAGAACATTGCTTTCAAGGGATAAAGCACAATGTCTTTACAATACAACTGTATGTACACTTTTCAAGTGAAACTCTCTCCTGTTCTCTGTCCTCTGTCTCAAGAGCTCTGCTTAAAAGCTAGTGCTATTGTAGGAACAAAATGCAGAAGCAAGGCAGCCTGGCTATCATACTGGACCTTCCCGAGAGGACTCTCAGATAACCACCATACAAGACTCAGTGAGAAGTAAAGAAAGAGAGAAGCCAGAGACAATATCAAGTAATCATACAGCAGGAAAATAATCTCAGTGCCTACCTTTCAGGTCATCGCTGAGGTAAATCTTGTACCTTAAGGAGTTACAAAGAACCACTCCTACAAACTTGCGATACCAAGTTCGCTTCACATACTGCTTGCCACTACAATCTGAATAGGTGGGGTCATATTTGAAAGTGAATGGGATCCAGATAGGCTCACCACCTTGAAGTAAAAAAATATCAACATTAAGGACAGACATCATCAGTCTTAAGTAAACATTCCCACTGATTTTATTAAGAGACTTCTCTACCTACAGATTCTTAGTTTCTTTTCTGAACAAAGCCTGATGGTAGTTCTGACAGTGAAGCTGCCTAAATAGTCATTTGCGTTTTAACACAATGTACAAAGCTTAACTCCTTTGTTAAACAGATATTAAAAATTCTGTGGTGGCTAACAGCCTGTGATGTGAAGCAAAATCTTTTTTTGTTATTGTCTTAAAAAGATGAAATTGGAAACCTACTTTTCTATTTTGTTTTCTCACATTACATCAAAACAGTGGAGGTTCCAATAAAAGACAAGCGAGTCCTTTCGTGGGGAACTCTGCACAAAGCACTGTAGCAACAGTTTAATTATATCACAAAAGATTAAATATTCTATTGGATTGCTTAAATGTTTGCTTTATACTAACTTATTGAAATGTTTCTTGCATTAATGGGTACAGAATGAGATAAAGAAGTTCCAATGAGGTAACTGGTATTCTTCTCTCTACCTACAGAGCAGAGCCCTGTTTTTACTGTGCCGTTTTGAGGTCGAAGGTATTTCCGTTAGTCATTCTTCCTCCTTTTCTCTAGGCACATGATTTAAATCCTGCAAACACGTGCAGGTGAGAAGCAACCACTGATCAGTAACCCTCAAAACTCCACCAGTATGAAGATAAATGTAACTGGACTGACTTTATGCATTTAGTCACATGGCAAAAGGATTGCAGGATTTTGGCCATAGATTTTTCTTTAGAACAAAGTATTATCTATTTCTTGAATGCAATGCTATTGCTGTGAATAGTCCACTTTCACCCATCACTTTTGCTCACTTCCTGTTAAAGATGAATATTAAATTGTTCTCTAAGAGCTTAATTCTCAGCTCTTCATGCCCACAGTTCCCAAACCTCTGCTCTGGTAGATCTCTTCCTGGTTTACCTATCTCTACCATTGCAACAACATGAATCTTAGAATCAAAGAAGAGCGTGGGTTGAAAAAGACCACAATGATCATCTAATTTCAACCTCCCTGCTATGTGCAGGGTCAACAACCAGCAGACCAGGCTGCACAGAGCCACATCCAGCCTGGCCTTGAATGTCTTCAGGGATGAGGCATTCACAACCTCCTTGGGCAACCTGTTCCAGTGCATCACCACCCTCCTAATATCTAACCTAAACCTCCTTGTCTCAGTTTAACACCATTCCCCCTTTTCCTATCACTTCCACCCTCGTAAACAGCCATTCCCCTTCTATTACCTTCCAAAAATCTCCCTTCCATTAACAGACCCACAAAATAAGTGACAGCAAAAAAACCTGGAGGTGACCAGGAGTATGGGAAGTCCACTATTCTTAGAAGCCTCCCATACTGGCTGCCAGAGACACAGCATATCTGTACATCATCAGAGACGCGTGGGCGGACATGTAAAAAACAGGCTAGCAAGCATAATCAAAATAGGAGAAAGGGACATGCTAGACATTGTATGAACAATGTACTTGAAAAGCCCCAGGACTAACCATTTAAACTGCTTAGGAAAGCTGACAGAGTGTAATAGCTGTGAAGGCCTTTTTCCTGCTTCCCTTACAAGAGCATGCACTACCTGGGGTTACACATCAGCAACTCTGTTCCTAGCACCAAAATACAAGCTCTTCTGATTATAGGCTGAATGTGCAATAAGCCACAAAGGATGCAAAGTAATAGGCTTGAAAACAGCAAGCAAGCTCAGCAACTTCATGGCATGTCCCTGTCATACAGTTCATTTATAAATCCTGGAATTTGTTATTATTTATAAGAGTATGACAAACAGTGCAGATGATCACAATAGCTACAGATTGGAAAAACTGGTTATGCTGTCCAAGCTATGCTCAGGCAGCTAAAGGACACAAAGACGCAATACAGTTTAGTGCTTTTTACTAAGCAGTGAAGGCTGTCTCACCAGGCAGAAGGTGGGCCCAAATAAAGCTCATAATGTAACAAAACTTAGAACGTGTTTCTTTTCAAAGAGTATGGGGTTCTAAAACTAGCACAGTGAACTATTTCCCTCTCCTGCTTAAAACTGCAAATTCAACTGTCTGTTGGGATGCTTCTCTAATATGTACATTCAGTTTTTCATAAATGTCATGCCCTTAAAGAAAAAAAAAAAAAGGGAAAAGACTTACCAGGTGGTCTGACAATAAGGAGGGGATTATCTAGAAGAAGGAAACAAACACAAAAGGAATCTCAGTATTTTATTCCAAATCTTGTTTTATCATATGAAACGTATAGTATCTCTCAAGAAATCAAAGATTAAGAGTAACTTCCATTAGTTATTCTGTGAGTGTGGGATTTATGTCTCACTGATTTGCAGAGCTAAAATGTATGACTAACACATACAGACCTAACTTCCAAAGGGAAAGGTAACTTACCTTTGGCATGCAAACCTTAGTCTCAGACATTTATCATGTTTAGCATGTTGTTTAGTGGTATTCATTAACATACGAAATTTGTCATTTTAACTTCTCACGTCACAATGGTAGATTTTCAAGAGCCAACTGGACAGTGCCGAGCTCTGTCCAACACATCAGGAGCTTCTGCTTGCTTGAAATTCTTTCATAACATAAGGAGGATGGAATAGGTGTGGAATAAGGATAACACATCAACAGTATCTAATAAGTGAACTTCTTCTTGTTCATTACAATGCCGTTTCTGTTGTTTCTTAACTGGCTCTTATTATACACAAAGTACCTGAAGAAAAAGTATGGCTCTTATATACTTATTGGGGAAAATAAACTCTAGGGATTTTACAGTTTGATTAAAGAAAACAATTGTTTTCTTTTCTCTTCAGTACATTACTGAAGGTAAAATGTGATGCTTTCAGTAAGCTACTTAATCCTGTGATAGCATTCTTTATGGGATACTCTCATCAGCTCAAACCTTCCAATTGTACTCAAACAGCACTTAGAACCAGTAGTTTCTCACTCTCTTTTGATCTATTCAATCACTGTAACTATACCATTTGGCTTTAGTTTTAGCAACTGCTTTTGTATTTGTGCCAGCTGGAAAGCCATCTTTGGCCACATGACAAGTGCAGGAACAGTGCTGCAAATAAAACTTCAATGGATTTAACTTTTTACATAAAGTTCATAAGGTGGCTGATTTTGGTTGGAAAAACTAGGCATTCAGAACTGCATACTGGCAGTTAGCTAATCAGCAGAACTTCCTACAAGGCACAGCATGCTGTATTTGCCCAGTGCCAGACCTCTTGGGATTTATATTTGAGCTTCTGCTACTCCTTTAAAAAAAAAAACAAAAAACTCTGAACATGTTTTGCAGGACCATTTACTATTCTTGCATCTTTGTCTCCTTTCTATGTAGGCTTACTTTCCATAGTTCTTAATGGCTCTACTGATGTGAGCACTACAGGTTGAAGCTAAATGAGCAAAATCGGAGACCACATAAACCCCATGTTGTCAAAAGGGCAAAATTCGTAAGAGACAACTGACCCATTGCTCAAGTAAAGATTAAAGAATTTGCACTTTATTTTTCAGTGGAATCGTTGGCTTTTGGCTCAATGGAAGAAGAAATGGGTAAAAATAGCTCACTGAACACACTATTTTTAGAAGGGGGTGTTCCTCTTGAGCACACTATTAGCCCTGTGAAAGAGAAGCATGCTTTGTCAAAAAAGGAACAGAGAACTTTGCCCATTTGATGGAACAATTGTTTCCTATATTTCTTCCAGAGACAGCCACTTCCAACTGCTCAGCTGTTCACAATTAGGAAACCAACTCACCAAATGTTTGGTCAATCAGTGACATTAAACTTCCCATTGCTTCTGTATTTTGGAACATTAGTAATCTTTTGTATTTTAAATTTAACTTCCTGTTCCCCATAATCTTTCACATCACTTATATTTTCTTAGCGGCATTATGACTGTGTATTAAGTTCCTAGCTTTACTGAAAACAAATAATTAACCTTAAAAACTCTCAAAGTAGTAATTTCAGGATAATCACCATTACTACCATGTTTGTTTCAGTAACAGCCCTCCCACATCTTTTCTTATGAATTCAGTTCTGTGATGAAAATAAAAAGCAGAACGTACCAGACTCTGTGATAAATGAGACTGAAGAGCTAACAGGTCCATAACCAAAGGGGTTCTTTGCTTGGACTTTAAAATAATATCTGAAACACAATGAGAAGAAAAATAAGATTGAACCATTGATTTCACTGCAATGACTAAATTAGAAATAATATTAAAATAGGGAGACAATCAAACCAACACAATTCCAGTGAGTTTGAGTGCCCTTTCTATTGTATTATAGCATTGTAGAAAGGCTTGGGTTGGAAGGAACATTAAAGACACTCAGTTCCAGCCTTCTGCCATGGACAGGGAAGCCACCCACCAGATCAGGCTGCCCAGGGCCCCATCCAACCTGGCCTTGAATGCCTCCAGCAATGGGGCATCCATAACCTCTCTGGCCAACCCATTCCAGCCCCTCACCACTCTCTGAATAAAGGATTTCTTCCTAATATCTAACATAAATTTCCTCTATTTTACTTTATAACCAATCCCCCTTGTCCTATCACTATCTACCTCTGTAAAAAGTCTATTTCCCTCTTGTTTGTAATCTCCCTTTATAAAAAAGACTTGGACTTGGATACTCAGCCAGACTATGAGCTGGCTGTTACATACAAATTTCATCTTTTTGTAATTCTCTTTTATTTTTATCATCTTCATAATTACATCCACTTTATAAGAAACAACCAATAGCAGTAGGCTACAAGAAAAAGATGGCAAGGAAATAAATTCTGACCTCAGGAACCTTTATCTGGATTAGTTCCTAGGAAAGTAGCGGTATAAGCTGCAAAACTAAAACTGTATCAGGTTTATACAAGATCAGAAGCTAAGCTTTTGACCTTTCTCCACAAACTCTAGCAGCATCGAGATTATTTAAATCACATGCTTAAATTAAAGCACATGACTAGCCACTAGAACTCCATTCTTTGCCTGACAGAAACAAAATTATTATTCTGACTCAGGGAGAAGAATGCGTAAGCATATTTTTTACTTCATTTCCAAATATCATGATTTTTATTTGCTACCTACCCTGACATTTATTTTTAGGTTTTTATCCAGATCAGCAGAAACAAACAAGAGTGGAAGATTATTGTAAAAATTTCCAGCACAACATTTTTAAGTGCCTGTGTAGGTCTCCCTTTCTTGTGCGCTTGCTCAATTACACTCTTGTAAATAAATTAGTAAAAAAAAAATTAAAAAAATCTCTGTAATATCCACACAGCCTAGAGCTAGCTTTTCATCCAAAAGCAGACATTTTCAAAACCACACTGTGTGACCCGCAATATTGGGCAAGCACTTACTCACAGGAATAGGTGCCACCAAGCATTGATGGGCAATGTCCCATCCAAGTGGCAGGTCTGAAAGCAAGCCCCGTGAAAAGCATCAGGCTGCTCATGGTGGCAAAGGTCATCCCATCCTGCACAGAAACCCTTCAGCACTGATGTGCTTGCATGGCCCAGCAATGGGGTCCACTGGGCTAAGACAGAAAGCTTCATAGCAGTTGTGGTCTGCCATCCCCTGGAGGTTTCTGCCACCAGGCACAGTCTATGTTCAAAGTACAGACGCCATCTACATCAAAAGCTTTGCTCCCCTTCCTTCACTTCTGTGCATAAGAAATGGCAATAGTCCCTGCAATGGAAGTGTGTAACATGTGGCTTAGTGATGAGTAAGATGCTCATGCAAGCTAGCTGGAAGCAAGCAAATTCAACACCATCCAGCTGCAGGAACCTTGCTTTTTCCAGCAAGGAGTAAGGGGGCAGCAGGAATGGGAGTATTCAGGAACATTCCTGAATGTACACAAAGGGCTCGCAGTTTTCTTTTAAAAGACATACACACCATGGCAAAATGAAACCACATTAAATAGTGAAATTTAGCAAGGCTGTATTTTTTTTATAATTTCCAGCATAATCCTGATAAAAGTCTTGTCCTATGGTTTCAACTGTTGGCCTTGATTTCCTGACAACAGCTTGCGAGTGTTCAGTGTGGCTGGGGAAGGACAGGGAGGCAAAATCCTCCTCCATGCCCCTGTACCTCGGATCAGAGCATGAAGCAGAGGACTGCTTTAATTCCTAAGTTATCATTGTTTCCAAGGGACACTTGCACCAGTGGCCACACTCCATTCACACCTCCTTTGTCACTCACACCTCTATGATCAGGTGTCCTACTGTGCACATCCAAAATACATGATTGTTGGGGTAGCCTGATTCACTGTCTGGAAAAACATGTGATGAAGTTATGAGTACATTTCTCTTCACTAAATTGGAAAATTAGTTCCTAAGCCTTTAAATATAGAGGAAGACTTTCATAGTGCCAGAAAGAAAGCCAGGACTCATGACTTGCTGACCTGTGATTTAAGCATAGACCATGCTATGCTTGCTGTATTCAGTGCATCAATAAAATAATGAAGTCAGGATATATTTATTTCTCAGACATGACAAATAAAGAAGAAATTGCCAAAGTCTTTCTAGGCCAGGCGTCTGACATTTTCATTAGTCAGGATCTTATTTGCATTACAGTTGATGGATTTGCCAGGAAGTCTCAAATCAGTATCTCAACTGTTCTTCATCACATAAATACATGACAAAAAACTGTAGTGTGGAAGTTGATTGTGCTTTTATTACACTTTGCTCAGCCAGACTTGTAATAAATTGTTACCAATAAGCATATAAGAGTCTCCACTGAAAGAAATGCAATACTGTGTGTTTTTAACACATACATGAAGCCTTTTTTTGCTAAAAAATAAACCTCCTTTGAGATTTCGTATACCACATCTACTGACATGTAAAGAAGGCATTTAATAAACTGCAAAAGAGCAATGAATGTGTGATATTTATGTTCATTTGACTATTCTTATCCATACCTGCCACTTGGAGCAAAATGATTTTATGACTTAATTCCAAGTGTCTCCCTCCTGCTGAAAATTAATTGCTGGAACTTGTAGCTACAAAGGGAGATCATCACTCAGCAGAAGAGTTAGGGAAGCAGCCGTTGTTAGAAAGATTAATCATTCACAAATCTCTTCCCAGCTCCCACCAGCAGCAGCCTGAGATGATGGGACATGTAGGCTGTACCACATGCATCCCCACATGCAACACCACAGCTGCATGTCAGCAAGGGGTAAAAGGGACTGTGGCTGCTGATACCCCCTCAGTGCTGGAGGAGGGTGATGGTGGTTGTGCAGAGGCAATGTGGGGAACAGGGCCTACTCCTGTCAGGGAGGAACAGGCATGTGCACCTGACCTGGCTGCAAGGAGGAGACCCACATGCGGTGCTGTCACCACCAGAAAATGGCTCAGCACCACATATATCATGAGTATGTATACTAAATACATAATAATTCACTGGAGTAGGGCTGGAAGAGGGGTTTCCTGCATGGTTGTGGTCAGGTAGGCATGCATCAACAAGTCTACCGCTTGCTTGAGAAGAGGGCTTCATCCACATCTTACCTCTTTTGTGCTGCTCTGGTGACACAGAGCAGCCAGTTGTGGCTGATGCTTTGTTTAATGGAGATAGAGAAAGGAAACAGAAATTTTCAGCCCATTTGGCCCTCAGAGCCAGAAGGTCTCGCAATTGCTCTGTTTGCAACTGTGAGGCCTGAGTCTGAGAGCCTCCTGTGACATGCTCTGCAAAACACTAGAAGTAATAGCAGACATTCTGGGGTCAAAAAACCCCTGAAGGGAATAGAAACCACGTAGAAAGGGAAGGTTTGAAAATAAGCAGCAGAAGAGGTTGTTGGACATCACAGGGTACCTAATTCCTACTGTAAGGTACTGCACGGCTTTCCTGCAGAAACACAGAAAAGCCTAGCCATAGTCAAAAAGGAGTTTGAAATGTTTATGAAGAGAATAATATAATTGAAAGAGATTGGATTTAGTGGCAAGTGAACGCTCTCCAGCCCTTTTCATTGCCCTTCTTCTGCGATGGCGGAGAATTAAGCTTAGGAAAGGAACATTGTCAAGACTGCCACTTTAAAGATTTAAGGTTTAAAGTAATTTTAGCACCTATCTTCCTCTATCACCAGGAAGCAACTCCTGTACTCACCAAAGCTGACCAGTGTTTTGCAAATGGGAAGAACTTCTACTTCTCAACTGGAGGCCAAGCCAGGCCTCCAAAGAAAGCTTATCGCGTGGGCTAAATTTAGACTTCAGTTTTGTTTATAAAACCTGAACACCAGGCAGACATTTTCCAGGACATGTTGACAGCTTCAAGTCTTCTCTGGAGCTGACTTCTGACATAATACTAACCCCTTTCTGGTATTCTGCGCGCACCACAGATTGTACCACCAATAACCCTGCAAGGAACACCCACCACTCCGTAGCATCTGCATATAGCAATCTGACTTAATCAGAGATATCTCACACTATGCATTCCTAAGGCAAACACAACATTTTTAGACCAACTTCAGATACCACGCCATGTTTTCTTAATTAGGATGAGGTTCTTTCCCAATGGTTAGGGAGTTATTTTTAAGACTGAAAATATGCAGTCAATTCAGCCTGTGGATGTAGAGAATGTGAATGAGATTGGCTGATACGCACAAATTTTCTCTTATAAAGAACCCTACTTCTTCACCACAGACCCCACACAACGCCTTTCTTTCTTTCATACAGTATCCAACAGAGGCCAATGGATTACCCTGCTCTTCAGAAATAACAGATGGATTTTGTTTGAATCTCTCTGCTTTGAAAAAGCCTTCATATTCAACAAAGAGTCCGTTTTGTGGGTATGCAAAAACCTTGCTATTTTTATAAAAATTCATTCTACTACTTGGATCTTCTGAAGCCTGGAGCTCACATACGTCTCAGCAGACATATCGCTGTTTGGCAGCTCAATTCCCACTGATTCCTCTGCTCAGAGCATGGCGGGGGCTCTATGGGATTTTCACTGCAATTGCTCATTTAGTGACAGAAAACTTTTGAGGTTTTGGGCACAAGAAAGACCTATAGTAGACATTTGATATTGTCCTTAGGACAGCAGGAGAAGGAGGCTTGAATGAAAGACTTTAAGAGGATGAGGAGCTGGGGCTAGAAGGTGGAAAGGCCAGAGAAACAAATGATGGAAGATCTTTCATAGGGAAAGCTGGGGCACAAGGGCAGTGCCTTCCTGGCCTGCACATGGCATAGTGAGAGTTGAGGAGTTGGGGAGAAACTATGGAAAACTGGTGAAAAGGATAAGGGCTGGGGATGTAAAGGAGTCTGGGGTGTGGAGGCAGGTACTAGAGGCAAGAAGAGAGAAGTTTAAGGAAGTGATGTCCTCCTGGAATGAAAATGTACACACAAAGGCAGGAGGGTCTGCATCTGCTTCTCTCACTTTCTAAGAACAGAGTTTAGGTCATCTCAGATGTCATCTGTCTTGTTCTAACAGGTGAAATTTCTGGAAATCTCACTGTGCCCCACACCTTCCTCAATATTTTTATAAATGTTTTATATTAAGGGCACTAGCAGATGCAGAACATCCAGTTGTAGTTCTCTGCTGTACACATAATCCTGCTTTAATGCACCACGCGCATCTCATAAGGACTTGATTAAGAGTTCTAGATAAATAACCCTTAATATAGGTGTAACATATTTAAGCAATTTAGATATACCCTTATTTCTTGAACACATTCCTGCAACAGTCAACAAGGATACTGCAAACTCTTCACAGTGCATTTCACAGCTGTTTCCTGCTCAGCATTACTCTATTGCTGACAAGGAATCTTGTACCTTAATATTGTCCCTGGGAGATACAATAAGAGAATTGGCAATAGTTGGGCAAAATCACTCTGAAAAGCACTGTGCCATTGTCAGAAAAAATGCCAACTCACTTTTGAGACCCAAATACTACACTGCACTGACTTTTCCTAAATAAGTTAATTAATTGTTCAGATAAATGTTCAGATATCTCTTCTACGTTTTCCAAGTTGAGATTGATGGTTTTAGCAATTAACCAGAACCTTGAATAATATGAGAAGTTATACAGCAATTAAAACAAGTGGGATGTAAAACCTTACTCTCAATGCTTTTAACCCTCATACATAAACCATTTTGGAACAAAAATATCCTTTAAGGAACACTGTTTCTCTCTTCTATGCTGCTGTGGCTGTTCTAGAAATGACTGGTCTGATTTATACTTTCTCATCAAGTGAGGCATGCTAGTCCCCAGGTTCAATCCCAGTGCATCTCCCATGCTATCAAATACACGAGCAGCACATGACACCAGTGCTTAAGAGACTGTAGTCATAATAAAGTGAAGAATCATCATCTAGCAAACAGCAACAACAGAAGTCTTTCAGACTCAGAATGTGAGAGAATGGGATTGAGACATTGTGTATCTGTCAAAATCATGATTTTAACATATTCCCTCTGTGCCCGTTCACTTCCCACCCAATCACCATAAACTATTCCAACATCATGAACAGCAAGCATTCTTGTTTTTGTGAGATTTTTTGCAAGATAAAGAGCTACAGCTCCTGCCAAACTGACTTCTGAGCAAGTGTCATGGCCTCTTTATACCGTGAAGCCTTCTCTACTGACACAACTGATGTAAGCAGACAGCAAAAACAGGCCACAGAAAGCTGGCACCTTTTCCCACCACCCCATGGCTACTAAATTTTGAGTACGTTGATATGTTGGAATGGCCACATCACATTATAACAAGTAATACTTTAATATACTCTTTACTTTAATACACTCTTCCCACAAAATTTGATTCAATTATGCATATGACTAGAACGCAAAGTTTTTAAATGATGTTTTTTCTTACTGATAAGTGTTTTTATATACAAACAAATATACTTGTACACACAGTATCTATTCTAGGATTAACATGGTAAATATGTCACATAAACTGCTGTGAGATTTACAAAACAATTTGCTGCCAAACAGAATGACTACAATCTATATCAGGAATAGATATTTATACTAAGGCCAAGAAAAAAAAAAGTTTGTAAAATAATCACATTTGTTTTACTTCCCTTCCAGAACTGAAAAGAATGGATCAAATTCTTACCGTGTGTTTGGCTTCAGGTTCTCAATTGGCAGATGAGTAGTACCTGCAGTCCTAGTTGACCACTTGTTCTTTAAAAAGTCATCGTAGGATGCGCTGTAAACCAGGTAGCCTGTAAAAAGGAAAGACAAAAAGCTGGGAGGATTTTGAACTTAATTGGTATCCCAAGCTTAGGTGCCATGTTAAATTTCATGAGTTAGAAGGAATGTAAGCATCTTTGAATTTGTGAGATAATGCTTAGCTCTCCTGGAACCTCCCAGGCTACAAGAATTTCTTGTCATTAGCCAATAACGACAGTGCACTGTATTACAGAATGGTACCAATATGCAATTACTGATTTAAAAGACATTGAAGACAAAAGGATGACAGATTCAACCTATCCGCTACTTTACGTTAGACACTGACTATACAGAAACATGAGAACTGTGTAGATGTTGCAAGGGATGTGATTTAGTGGGGAAATTGTGATGGTGGTGAATGGTTCGACTGGATGATCTTGGAGGTCTTTTCCAACAGTGGTGATTCTATGATATATATTCTCCACTTCAACACTGTGGTGTCTAATTTTTTTTTTTATTTTTAGACAAATTGTGCTCTGTGAGGTACTGGATCTACAGCTTTGAAGAATTAAGTGCTGTAGGACAGACACGTGGCCTGTTCAGGTGCAGCCCAATTCCTTACAGATCTTTATTACTGCTTTGGCTCTGCTAGTTCCCATCTCCTTGCCACTGCTGCCATCCACAGAGGTGGCAGCACCAAAGCAAAGGCCTTTTCCATGACTTATTTCGGATATTCTGGGTCCAATGGCAAATAGGCTTTGATTTTCTTCTAAAAATATTTCAGTAATTTATTTATTTCAGTGTTTTCTAACAAGTTTTGAGATTCATTTTTGAAGTCAGTTTGTACTTTTATGTGGCTCTCAAAAGGTCTGAGGTTGCCTTAACTCAGAGGAGGCTGAATGCAAATGTGAAAGATGCTCCAAAGGCAAATTTGGGAAGTGCTTGCAGTGGTGCTGAGAGTGCTACCCAGGAGCAGAAGTAGTAGTCAAACTAAGTGCTATCACAGGCACTGCACTGGTGAGAAGCGATGCCTTCAGAACTGCTGCCACAGAAGCAGAGCCAAAATCTGAAATATCTGGACTAGCACAAATGGATAACTCTGGCACTGAAGGATGACAAAAGGACCTTTCTCACCGCTAAGAAAGCAGCTCACCTCCCTCAGAGAACTGTTAATACAGAGAGAATTTCATGAGCAGTTGGCTCAATTTGATAAAAATGGTCAGTCAGCAAAATCTTCCCCCCTCAGCAGAACAGCCCAGCCTACTCATGTGCTGGGGACACCAGCTCTGCAGTACCTGTTACCATGTCTCCTCGAGGAGGCTTGGCCCAGTCCACGATGACAAAGGAGTGACAGCCTTCTACTGCCACAACAGTGATGTTGTGAGGGGCTTTGAGGGGATGTGTGTCTTTCTCTTTAAGGTCATTAGGGATGATCTCATCAAGGCTTTCCACTTGGAAGTGCTCCAGGGCCTCTGTCAAGGAGCAGGGGGCTGCTGGATCTTTATTTAGATAGGTCACGTAAGGTGCTGGAAGAGACAGGGAGGGGTGGCATTTAGTTAGCACTTCATAGATTTCAGAGAGTAACAGGCAGGCTGACAATACCCTGTGTGATTCCTACACTTCTGACTAATAGACAGGGACCTCTGTGCCCTAGGCCAGCTTGGGATCACACCAGGATTTCCTGCGTTTCAGTTTGTGCCCATTGCTTTCTCTTTTCAGTGGGCACCAAATGAGTAGAGCCTGGCTCTCTCATCTTTACAGTCCCCATCAGCTATTTATGCACATTGGCAAGGTTCCACACTGTTTTCTTCACATTGAAGAGCCCCTGCTCTCTTAGCTTCTCCTCACACGTCTGATGCTCCAAACCTTTCATCACCACTTTCATGGCCCTAGTGGCTTCCTGCTTTTCTGCTTACCCTACCTAGCCAGTTTGACTTGGGCAACTCTGGCTGTCCAACCTCTACACATTTCTTTGTACTTTAAGGTGACAGTTCCTGAACTGGTCTCAGCCAAGACTTCCTTGAGCTATGGCAATAAACCTGACATAAAGGAACAACATAAATATATATCATGGTAGAGAAATGATTAGTGCTGTTTGTGGCCTCTTTAGCCTTTCCTTAGCTTACACCCCCCAGACCAGACTCTTGCACTTTACCAAAGGAATTTGGAAAGGAAAGCTAAGATTTTGGTGGCCTCCAAGTAAGCAAGCAGTGTACAAATCCCAACAGCTTTAGATTATAGCCTTGCCCTTGTCTGGCAGCCAGGAATCTTCTCGTGCATGTTTATCTCTCTCCATACAGAAGTCATCTGCACCAGGGAGATATGCAAGAAACCATTTACTGGTCTTTGTAATCAGAAACCTCTGCAGCAACAAAGCATGGCTCCTGCTCAATTTGATTCATAAGCAGGGGAAAGTGGGATGCCAACATTCAGGGTAACCCCACACTCACGACTGCACCTAATCACCTAAAGAGAGGAGGTCCATTTTTACTGCAAGAGGCAGAGGAGAGCAGTCTAGCTGCAAGAATCTCTGCACGCTACCTACAGCTGTTCTGGGATGCTGGATGGAAACATCACACAGATTCTTGGCATTTTACACATGGGAACAGACCCTGCCAGGGCCTTTGATCAATATCTAAGACTTCACCAGGTCCTATACAAACATTCTGAAACTAAGCTGAAACAACAGGATGAGCAAGAAGAATAATTCCAAAGTGAAGTCTGAACACTTAAAGCAATTAACAGAGTGGTCCCCTGGGTATTAAAGGATTGGGAGTCAGAGTCTCCATCTTCCAGGAGCACAACCTATAATCCCTAATTTTAGAATACTTATATTGACTGGAATTTCACTTTGGCTCAGTAAATAGTTTCGACTATCTTGTTACTTATTTAAATGTCACCATAACATTCAAAATAAGGACTATAACACTTGCTTTTGGAAATGTTTATTCAGTTGCAATAAAAAAAACCATTGAAATGGTAGTATTTTTTCCCTAGTGCCTTTAAATGCTCATAAACTAACGTTTCTTGGTTTACCTTATTGGATTTCATGCTCTTAGGAATTTTTTCCAGATCTTGCAATGAAGCTAATTTTAGCCCCTCTAGTTAAATGAATCAAGAAGCATTGTCAGTGAGAGAGCTGAACAGAAACATCATGAAATTGTTTGGACAGCAAAACTGAGGATGCACTGGAAAAAGTCTTGGCAAATACAAAAACAAATATTTCACTCCAGCAGCAGAGCTCCACTATAAGCCACGTGAAGCCTGCAGATGTTGGAATGGAAAGCAAGACATGATTCAAAGATGACTCTCCATCTCCTGAACTCACATCTGAAACACCAGGCAAGCTAACACATGACCAGACCTCAGTTAAAAGTCCAGACATTTGCAAAAGAGTGCTAGGGGTCAAGAAGCCTTGGCTGGAGGCTGGAATACAATGCCCTAGCACCTCAAAATCCCTCCAGTCTGATCTCAAGCTGCTTCTCTCACAGAAAATATCAAGCTGCTTCTCAAGAAGCAGGGCAGCTCTGAGATGAGAGCAGCAATGTTTATCTACACACTTGAATGGCTCACATATGCTGGAGCAATGCTCAGTCCTCCTGCCAGCATACTGTGGGTTCATTCCCTATGTTCCTTCTGCAGAGCAAAGAAATAGCAAAGGCAAATTTACGTCTGCAGGCTTTACTTTTTGGGAAGTTCATATTCAAATGTCATTCACTTACTGACTTTCCCATATGTCCTAAATGAAACACACCTTTGACGTACATGGTGAAATCACAGGTGTTACATGGGGCAGTGAAAAGAACTAGGTCCTCCAGAGGATGACTCACATCTATGTGGAGACTTGTACTGCATGAACTACTGGTGTGAATTTAAAGTGATGCAGCTGAGCTTATTGGAGCACCAAAGCAGATACTCTCACTTTCTCACTGACTTCAAGTAAACTGAACATGATGCAGAATATAAAGCAGAGTACTTACATTACAAGAGTAGAGAAAGATTCGCGCTGCTTCAGCAGTATTGGTGTGAGTCCACATGCAAACGTGCAAACACCAAAGCAATGAGCAAAGTACTGTTGTTTAGATTTCCCTGGTGCCAGTCGTTACAAGGACGCCACACTAGTCTGTTGCTCATATTCATGAAATAGCCTCGGCTTAATGGCTGATCTTCCTAGAACAAGAATTACTTGCAGTACTAGCAGCAAGCTACTTAATACAAAGTATATCCTTACCCGTGAATCGTTTCTTCCCAGCAATGTCATATTCTGATACAGGGCCAGTACCAACAACACTAGTCTCTGGATAGACAATTTCTGATTCTGTTGTTGTAGTGGTAGCGACAGTAGTGGTGGTCGGTAGCAAAGTGCTCTCGAAAAACTCATAATCTTCAAAGGAAACACAGAATGAAAATGTCAGCCTGTTTTCACATTCACAACATTTCACAATGTTTTGGCTTAGATATGAGAAGGAAAACATTTACGTGACCAGCCACAATCCCAAAGAAGTTCTGTGTATCCTACTACAGCTACTGCATCTTCTTATGGGCCTCTAAGTCACAGTTAATCACACTTCAGTATCACAAGTGTTTCCACTAAACTGATGAACAGCAAGCACAAAGCCTTAGAAAACTAATGCCATTGCTGACTAGGACCTCATTCACACAAGTAAAAAGGGTGACAGTAAACAAATGTATATTCTATATTTTAATATAATCTATATTCTGAATGTGCTTTATCTGCCATCTCCCCTTACCACCCCTAAAAGAAGACAGCACAGTAATTGAATCCATAGCCACAGCTTTTTAAGCAACCTCCATGTTACTGATCTAAAATCTTAGAACTGTTTCCTACTGCTTTTAAACCCTCCAGTAACTTACAGACATGGTGTCTTGTACTTGCTATTTGCAGTCCCATTAAGGGCAAGCAAATTGGCACATATGAACCTCCTGATATTCAGCCGTACTTGATATTCAGTACCATTAAATCCAGTGCTCTTTGAAAAGCCATCACACTACAAGACTGACAAAGAAATTGAAGGGAAAGAAGCATTTGACATCCCTGCCATGTCCCTGTGTGGGCTATGAAAACTCATCTGATCATTTGGATTTCTTTTTCCTAACGTTGCTGCAGTCTCCTGTAGGTGACCTGCCCCTACAGGGAGCCCTAGCAGAAGACCTGCATCCTGAGGATGTGGGGATGTAAGGAACACAGGCCATAGAACTTGTGCAGTTTTCAATTCATTTTCTCCTTAAATTCTCAATGTCAGCCTCAGTATGAAGCTTCTGGAATAAAAGTACAAAACTCTCAGGCATTTTTCTCTCAGCTGCAGCACTCTCTTTTTCAGAGCTTTTTTTGACTGGTTGGTTTGACTTAAATTTCCAGGAGCACATCCATCAAAAGAAAAACTTTTTTATTCTAGAGCTGCAAATTATACTACTGATACTAAAAGCTATATGGATGTAGAAGCTGGAATATGAGAAAAAGAAGCAGAACATCAGAAACCAGCAGTGGTGTACAATGAATATTAGTCCCAGTAATTTATTATTTCCCTTCCTTCTGGACATCGATAATTAAATGCTAAGACTTGAAGTTTCCTCTTAAGCTTCATGTGTCCTGACTTATACCACCAAGATAGCATGAACATAACTGCAAAAATGTTTCCCTCTTCCTTTATCTGTTTGCAAATCTCTTTAATTTAAATTCTACAAGGATTCAGCAGACTAATTATTTTATACCTAGGTGATCTCATTCAGTGTGAAAACACTTTATAGTTTAAATGCAGACTGCACATCAAAAAAGACAAGAAAATATTCATAATGCTGGAATCATAATTCATTGGGACTCTAGTGCTAAAAACATGTGTTTCCAGGACTCAGTGTTTCGATTTTCTATTTTAAAATACTTCAGTGATCTTGGACTAGATGTTGTACCAGAGAATGTCTAGCAGTGAGTGTATGAACCAGCTCTGAATGTAATTTATTTCCAGAATAGGCTCCTGTTAGATGGCAGGACTGACAGAAGGGGACCCTCATGTCCATTAACAGTTGCATTTGCACCACTGTCTTTCATGTATGATGCAGAACTACAGAAGGTTTTTCCAGCTCACCATTGCTTGCTTAAGCTGCTGTGCATGTGCATCAATCTGCCATGCAAACTCAATTTCAAAGAAAGAAGAGGGAAAAAGCCAGCAACCCAAAATGTGTCATTTGCAATAGATATAGTTAAACTGTACCATCATCGTATATCACATATGCCTCTGGAGTTGCTGTCACTTCTGAATCCAGTCCTGAGAATGTATCTACTGCAGGAAAAAGAAAAGAAAAAGTTGTAAAATTCAATGGTCTCATCCTCACCCTCCTATTAAAATAAAGTTTAAAATAAAAATGTTTATCTAGTTGATTTATAAAGAAACAAGACAATCACCAAGTTTGCCAGAGAGCACAGCAACAGTTCACTCTGCATATTTAGAATAACAGATAGTAGCTAACTGCAACAGCCTGGAGTTCTGCTGGAAGAAAATGGTTTGAGAGCTGCTACTGAAAACTGAGAACAATACACCTTCCAGAGGCTCTGCCCTGGGCCCCAGGGCTCTTGGAGCAAAGGCAGACTATCTACAGCCACATAGCACTCATGTCAGGATTTAAAAATATTCTATAGTTTCAAGAGTTGCAAATATAAGAAATTCATATATATAAAAAAAAAGAAAAATTCAAAGCAATTCAAACAAGTAAAGACTTCAATTCAAGTATCTTTCACAAGGTATGAAAAAAATCAAGCAATCCACACCATCCATACCAATGCAGTCCAAAAGGCATGAATTTGTGCAGTGATGCAATTTGTGCTGGGTCTCCTAGTGTCCAGCACCCAGATCTTCTCTGCACTTCCTCTAGTCTGATCCAGTAGGCTAAAGGCCCATTACATGTTAGGGCACATACATGTAATTCTGAAGTACTGTTTCTGCCTTGGTTTCATCCAAAAGGAATTGAAATTGTTCACAGAATACTGCCCCATAATACAGATAAAAGCATGGAAAGTAGAGATGATTGCAAGGTACACATCAAAACCCTCCAATTCAAACCAAAGGCTAATGCAAATGCTTCCTAAATTCTCACTCATGTAAATCATCTTAATCTCTCTGCACATGAGGTATCCAGCACCTGATACACCATCAGCCAGGTAGCTCAACTTGTGAATTCTGAAGGCTTCCCAGCATGCCTGGAGAAATTTCTCCACAGTATTCTGAGTACACAAGGCTCAGATGAGCCATGAAAAGCAATTGAAAGAAATCAGAAGTGTGGTGCCGAAATCCACAGCAGGTAAAATCAGAAGTTTTCAATGAAACATTGGGTTTGAGGGGAGGGCAGCATGCAAACAGAAGAGACAGGCAGCAATGACCTCAGGGTAACTATGCTAAATTAGGAAAGTTCATACAGCACTTGATGTGAAAGAAATGTGATTTTCACTATGAATATTGGAATTTTTCAACTGTAAACATTAAATAAATTACAAATTTGAATGATACATTTTGTATTTTTTTAAATACAAATTTTTAAAAATTTAAAACCAATAATTATTGTAAAAAATGATGGATTTTTTTCTACTACATGAAGTTTCTTTTTAAAATGAATAATACAGCAGTAATTTTAATTCCCAAATAAGCTACAAAAACATAGGAAATTGGTTAATTCTTGCCAGACTTCCATAGCAATTCTGACATTTTCTAATGTTTAGGCTACACTCTTCAGAAGATCAGCCACTTGAAAGCCACTTTGACAGGCTAGATTTTCTGTGGAATTCTGCAGATCACCTTCTTTGATCCCATCGGAGTTATCAGGAGGCTCAGATAAGCTAGAAATTTGAAGTATTTTGTATGGTGGATTTCAACTCATTCACACCTACTAGCTAATCAGCTTTCATTCATATACAACGTATTTATTTATGGTGAATTCTATTTTCTATTTTTGTGCCTGTGCAGCCTATTCTACTTCACTTTCTGTGTTTTGTTGCATTAGCTGTGTAACAGAGAGGATGGGGTAGTACCCAAAAGACCTGTCACTATTTTCTCCTCATATACCAGCTGCATTTCTCCTGCTTGCTCCAAGCACCCGAGCTGCATCTTTTCATTTAACCCTACCTGTGCCAAGTAAGGCTAAGTCTTGTTTGCCATGGTCTTTTGCCATCTGTGAAGACAGCAGACTGCTCAACCACCACTTGATTTTATCACACAAAGCAAATGGTTGAGGTTCCACTTTTATTCCATGTGAGATCACAAAAAAACTAATTTCGCTGGCAAATTGCTCCAGTGTGGTCAACCCCCGTTCTGAAAGTTCAAGACTTTTGAATCTAGTGAAAAGTTGACAATAAATTCTGCTGGGTTAAGCAAAAATTCTGCCAAAGAGTAAGAGAATTTGCCAAAGCTTAAGTAGAACATGTGGCGGTGTTTTTTGGCGCTTGCAGACTCTGGCTGTTTAGGAGTAAAGCTCTTAGAAACAAAATAACAAGCTTTGGAAGAATAAGCATTTCATTAAATGAACTGGAGTGCATTCCAGATGCAGATTAAAAGGAAAGACAAAGTAGAAATATGATTTGGAAACCGTCAATGGAGAACAGCATGAAATGTTTTGATAGTTCCAGTAGTAGTTGTTTATCCCTCTTGAAACAGATACAGCACTTGTTAAACAAACAAACAGCAATCATTAAGTAAATACTATCATCATGCTTTCTTTCCAAGGAGGCTCCTCTGTGAACAGGCAGGTTGTCTTGCTGCATTCATAAATTGCTGGCCACCAGGATGAAGGGAAAAAAGAAAAAAGATGCTAGAAAATCCTAATAATCACTCTTCAGACAAACTTTCATACTTGTTAGGTTGCTCAAGTTATGTAAGGAGTGAAAACCCAACATTATCTTGTATTTGTACACTTCAATCCATTTGCAGACTTACTGTTGAAATGCCAGACAGTTTAGGAATGACTTTGAGAGTGATTCTCACTGAACACACAATCTGTACAAAAATACTTTTTCTCATTCATGGCTCTAACAAAGTTCAAAGCATCATCAAGCTACCTGGTAGAAGGCAAAATAAAAGCCCCCAAATACACAGAATCACAGAAACGCCAAACAGAATGTTTTTATATGTTTGTAAATTCACAAGAAAACTCCACAACCCACACCTCTCCTAAAAATAATTTGTATTGTTCAGCTTCTGGAGCTGTTCTCAGATTTAGCTGCTCAGATTTAGCTATGCTTCACAAAATGTTATTGTTCTTATAATATATATCCTCAGAAGAGTCCTTCATGTATCAAATAGCACAAGTGTTAAGAAAGGAAGGGACGCTAACACAACCAAAAATTATAGTCCCATTCAGGCAACTTAGAAAATACCAGGCTGACCATGTACAGCAATATTTGTAACACTTTTGTAAATACGTAAGAGAGCAGTGAAAGTACCAAAAGGAAAACCAAAAATCTTCAAAGAAACATTTAATGACACAGACAACCACGGGGCTAAATATTAGATAAACATTAATGCTACAAATTATTGTAATTCCATCTGCACAAAGCAATAATGTCTCTAACTTATTACTTACCCAGTGTAACTGGTAAGGAAATTTTCTGTCTTCTCAGATCCTTTCCAAAGCTGCTGTCTTTACATTCGCTACTATTTGCTGAAGCCTTATCTTTCCATATCTTCTTTACTCTTCAATGTGATAGTTCAGACTTTCAGGCCATGGTTACATGACCTACTAGTACATCTACTTTGGCTTCAGAGATGTAGGTGTATAAGGAAAGGTAAAAGGGCTTAGTTACCCACTGAAACTAGCTACTCCAGATGGCAGATGTCTGACTGCCAACTCTTTCTTTAGGTTACAGCCATGCTTCTGCTGCCCCTGGGTAGACTGAGCTGGAGACTACCTATAAGTGGAAAGAATAAGGACTGCCATGGTGCTCCTTGATCTAATTTCATAAAATAAGTTGCTAACTGATTTTCAATGCAACATTCAGGTGACGAAAGGATAAAACCTGGTAAGAACTGGCTCAACATTCCACAACTCCAGTAAATTTGTATTTGTTCATTTTGGATTTTTGATTTGCACAACATCCTAATCCTGTATAACTGCATGAGAGAAATAATGTCATCTACCAACACCATTTTTGATCCTTAGAAGAGAAATATATTAATGTACAAATCTTTGCATTATCTGTGCAGAGCCAATGTTGACTTTCCCCAAGTTCATCCACCTGTGCTGCATTTCTGCTTGAAAATCTCTACCTCTGAGGTCTGTCGAGATAACAAGAATCCCATTTTTTGAACATTCATCCCACTATAGCTCAAAAGAGAGACTTTGCAGAACTTACTGTGAGAAATGAATGCAAAACAGATAAGTTGTAGAGACTCTTTTGGGTCCTTCTCTGGCCTGGAATGAGGACTTGATTCTAAGTGGCTGCTTTAGCCACAGAACCGCTGCCTATGTTTGTTCATATGTGCCGAACATATGTGAGAAGACTGGAATCAACAGAAGGTGAGTGTTTTTCTGAAATCAACATATTTCCATGATAAATTCAGCTTTGGGGCAAGCTGACGTTTTCTAGTGGAAAACCATTTAATACGCAAACCCTTCTCTAGCTGCTCTAATCTCAGCTCCTTACTTTATCATCAGGACCAAAATCTTCAGAGGCAGATTCTTTTCTGCTTTACATTTATGCAAGTGTGGTGTACAAAAAGCATGACCGAACAAGTTCAAACAGCAAAAAAAGAAGTTACCTTCTGCATTGCACTCTGGCAGGCCATCGAACCCTAACAGCAAGTTGCCTTCATCATCATATTGTGCATAGGTGCCTGGAGGACAGGTCGGGGGTGGTTTCTCAGTTGGAGGTTCAGTTGTAGTTGGTTCAGGAGTGGTAGTTGTAGTAGTTGTGGTGGTGGTTGTAGTAGTTGTGGTGGTAGTTGTTGGGAGTGTTGTTGTAGTTGTAGTTGAGGGAGTGGTTGTTTTCTTAATCATTTCAAGACCAATCAGAGGTTTCCCTCCAAGGCTTATTATTGGTTTATCTTGTGCACTTGCTACAGGCTTACTAAATCTGCCATGTCCAAACAAAGGTATTCCATCAGGACTCACCATTGGAGCACCCTTTTCATCTAGGAGAAAAGAACAAAATAAAAATATCTCAGTTATTATCTGTTGCAGACTTATAGTATGGTACTTAATAACCACATGAACGCTGAAAGCAATTACAAACTGCTGTAATTAATGTGGCAGAAAAGAATGTTGTTATCTAGAAAAGACACATGGCTAAGAAAATCAGTAAAAAGTTCAGAAGAATCTCAGGTAGATCACAATACTGTTCACTGATACCAGCTGTCTGATGAACGTTTATTGGGAAGAGTAGAGGGAGATTTCCTTTCAGAATCACAGTATGCAGACTGTGTCCACATTTAATCTAAATCAGTTTTTTAACAGATGAAAAGTAGGATGAATCCATATTCTGTTCCCTGTCGAATATGCTCAAGGAAAGAGTGGAATGAGCTAGTGAAGTGCTGTCACTGCAGATTAACTTTTGTGCCAAGTCCCAGATACTGCAAGTATTCACGATCACCATATAACTGCAGGCACTAAATCTGCATTTAAGAGATCTATTCAGATGGAGTGATATTCAGCCAGCAGTGTTTTCACAAATCATACACAGGGTTTTTTGCTATCTGTAGTCAGTTTCAGAAAACAAACAAAAAAAAGCAGCACATATCTATGACTGGCACTGTGCAAATAGAAGAATAATTATTTTTATGTATAGAAATAAACAAGTATCAATCTCTATTCTGGCTCAGTTCTGCAGTCCCTTCTAATGCTGATACAAGTGAGACAGACTTGGGTGATTCGTTCTGCCCCATACTCAAGAACCTTGCAGGCATCCCCAGATCCTGCGATGTGCTGACTGTCTGATGTGACCTGAAGTATAGTAACTCTAAATGGCTTGTGCAGGACCTAGGAATGCTTGGAGCACCAAACAGCTCAAAGATTTGTACCATGTGCAAAAAAACTTTAGATTTTTTTCTGTAAAATGGAAGCTGCAACTTACCAACAATTGTACGCCCGTCCCCTCCTAATTTCACTCGAAGTGGGTTGCCTTGAGAATCTTGGAGGTATTTTCCTTCAACATTTAACACTAGTCCTCGGTCAAGATCTACAATCTAAAAGCAATAGATAGACTCAAATTTAGCTAACATGAGAGATTATGAAAAGAAATTTCACAGCAGCAGAAATCCTATGGAAATTCAGATGTTAAGTGTGGTGAAGAATAGGTACAACACCTCCAGACAGACTTTTAAAAGTGAATATAGGAATCACTGATAAATTACTGCTAGAAGGCAAATCCCCAGGAGCGAGGCTTCAATGTTGCATAAGAACCATATTCATATTGGCCTCTATAGTGCTGGCATGTACAGGAGCTACTCCCTTGACTTGCTGCACTGAGTTTTTTGGGCTACACTACTCCTAAGGTGGATTCATGTAATACTTATTTGAGTATGACCCCAACTCCTTTTAAAAACGGTATTTAAAAGTAGTCTGCTAATAAAAAAAAGAGAAATATTAAACTAGTTAATTTAGATTGAAATAGCAGTGAAAACAAAGTAACTAAGATTTTAATTGAGGTAGGAGACTGAAGAAAAGCCTCTGTCTCATAAAACAAATCTGTCTGAGAGCCTGGACTGAATTTTAAAGGTTACTTGAATTAAAATCCAGTCCTCATTGCTATTTCAACCCAAAACAGCTGAATTGTGTGCTGTTTTAACCTGGGTTACTACACACTGTGGCATAGAGCACAAAAATACAAAAGCTGCTAGCTGATGAGAACCGGGAAGAGGACAAGAGCAGCACTTTCAAGTTGGCAAGAAAAACTTGAATTTGGTGTTGCAGAAAAGACTGTAGCAGGAGGAACAGTAAATCATGAGATTTGCCGAGGTCAGGCAGTCTCTGGAGGCCTTCAGGCCCCAGATGATGACAGATGACGACATAGGTCCTCTTGCTTTACAAGATGTTTAGAAGGTTCTACTTGCAGAAATGCCTTCCTCTCCTGCAGCAGGGAAAGATGCCCCACAGCTTCTCTTTCTAGGACCTTTCTAGCCCACTTTCTGAAGTCTATCTGAAGAGTCTTGGACTTGCTTTTCAAAATGCCTTCCTTAAAGGTGAGTTACCTGACACACTTTTCTGTGCTCCTCTATTGCAATCAAGAAGACTGAAATGGCCATAAAATAATTAGCTTTATGTCCCTTCTTTTACTTGTATCATGTGGTGTTCTACTGTATGAGCAGCAATACTGACATCGCTGAAGCTGGTCAGAGCCTTACCCTATCCAGTGTTTGAACGAGCATGCACGAAACATTATTTTCTTCACTACAATGATTGGTCATAAACTGACTGGAAAGAACTTTAAAAGTCAAGTATTTAGGCACCTAGTAGGACTTGCTATTAATGGTGCCCAAGATCTGAAAGTATCACTAGGAATTAGACTGAACCACAAAACACTCAAAAGTATCACTTTGAGGCCTGTCACCCCATAAAACCTACTGTGACATATTTGTTTTTAGAGCACCATGCCATGTATGGAGCAACTTCTCATGTTGACAGTCTTGTTCATGAGCCTCTCTCTGGAGATGCATCTGGAAGAAGCATCATCACAGAGCCCATCTTTCGTGGGAACTGGTCTGGACAATTTCCATTCACACTGTGCAGCAGTATCCTGGGGAGCATAAGTTCCACTGACCATGACAAAAAAAGTTTTGCTAAGTCTGTGGGAATACTGATGCAGTTAAGCATTCAAGGTTTTAAGTCAAATGTTTGAAATGTTTGAATAATGAAATGGAGTATTTAGATTTAAACGAAACAGTGGAATTACATCATTAAACATCACCTAATTTTACAGCTTCTTTGACTAGGGGCACTGTTTCTCCTCTATTCTCAAAGAAAAAGTAAGTAAAACAAAAGGCCAAAGCATCTGGAATTCGCAGAGGTCACCCTACCCACTTTGTTCCTTGTGGGCCATTGATTACTCTCTGTCCACTTGGTTTTCCATTATTACCAGTTAATATTTTTCCATTTCCATTCTTTGTTGTAAGGTTAGGTCGGCCATTGTAACCTGGAATAAGAGAAGGAAATACACTGTTCAGAAGAAAATTGTGCATACTACAAAGCATAGTAGTTTATAATATTAAAACATGCATTAAAATGCAGTTTAAAATGCAAAGGAATGCAAAATCTCTTAAGAATGTGCTGTTAAATGCAAATTCTGTGTATTTTACTGGTGAAGGTTCAAAGATGACTCCCACTAGCAACCCTTAGCTTTCTTTAACAGATGCAGATATTCAGGACTTTCTCATGATACATCTCAAAATCTGTAATCAATATTCAAAAAGTAAGCAACTGAACCAATGTGTAATATCATTGCTGAATATGAGAAGCCATATAAGACCCAGTTCAGCAGCCCATTTGGGCTGCCATGCATTGCAGCAGAGGTGGAAACAATGCCATCAAGATACTTTTGAACTTTGTAAACATCTGGGGTGTGTGTTGAGAGAAGAAATCTTATTAAACAGAACAATTTTCCTAACCTATCCTTACACAAAACTGAAGACCCAGAAATCACTATGGATGATGGAAGCCTGTGCAGATCAGACTTCAGGACCAAAGGCCTAGGGCACACATGGATTAGACAGTGTCCTCAAAAACTGGGCTCCCTGAGAAAACCCAAAATAAAAAAGTAGAATGTTATGCTAAACAACTGAGTTTGCATTCTGATAGAGAACTTTTCACAGGATTGCTGAACTTATGAAAATCTCAATTCAGTAACATTAATAGAACAAAGACAAGATACCTTGCCTATAAGGAGGTCTAACAAACTGCCGCTGGGAAGGGCTCCGTAGCCTGGAGTTCAGTAGTCGCTGGCGAGGGGACAAAGTGGAAGAGGAAACAGTTGGAGGAACAGTGTGTGTCGTGGTAGATTGAGAATAACGTGGCCAGATGAAGCTTGGTTTAGATGGGGTATGTTTGTTAGAGGAATGAATAGTTCGTGATGCTACAGCAGAGCTGCCTGGAGATTCAGGAGAAGATATTTTTAATGTTGGAGTTTCTTCCTTCTCTTCCTCTTCGGATCCTAGTTTGTGAGGTAGAAGAGTGTCCATAGATTTCCTCTTATTGCTAGCAGTGTCATATGTATTTTTATTACCTCTAGAAAGAGAAGGGGACCACTTTGCTGCCAAAGATGTAGGTTTCTCTTCCATCTCTTTCTGATCATACTCACTGTTATAATCATCCTCTTCATCAGAAACTGACTGACGAGATTTAGAAGAGGAGGAGGAAGGAACTTTTTGAGGAAGTTCAGTTTGGGACATTTTAGATGGTAACAGGTCATATTTTTTCTCTGTATGGGACACTATTCTTGTAGCAGCCCTTGACTGACTAGGTAATGAGGGACGAGTTTGTCTTGAAGAAGTGGATGACAACTTTGAATTATACTGATTGTCTTTTGCTTTACTGCTGGCAGAACTAGAGTCTGGCTTTGATTTGTAGGAAGGTACCTGAGAACCTGGCTGCTGTTGCTTTGATAGAGACAAACTTGAGCTTCCCTGAGAGAAAGATGTAGGTAATCCCCTAGAAGTGGACACTTTCTTAGGAAACACAGAGCGTCTGCTGGCTCTGTCACCATCTTCTGTTACATCCTCGTCATTATCTTCCTGCAATTCCTCATTACTCTGGGATGAGACGGGAGATGGCAGCCGCCTGCCCCTGGAATGCAGTAAGGAAGGACTGGTTTGTACCTTCTGCAGAGGTTCTGAGCGGGAGGTCTTCTGGGTCTTTTGTGATGGAAGATGAGAAGAGAACGTCTTTTTAGGCAAAGATACGCTTGGATGGCTTGGGTCCACCTCATGAGTTACAACAGACTGCCGATTTGATGGCAAACCCCAGAGTCCGGGCTCTGAAGTTTTAGAAGGCACTTTCACCAGCAAGGGATTTGGCTTTTCTTCCACACTGCCAGAGAGATCATTATTTTTAGCAAGCGGAGAATGGGAAGAGGCTTTAGGAGAAGGCACGTTAGTGTTACTTTGCCTCAGTTGTTTTGTTTCGTTATCTGAGTACTTAGGAACAGATGAGGCAGAAGAGCGTTGTGCTGAGGATGGTGACAACGCTGATGGCTCACGTTTCTCTGCACTAGTCTGCTGTGATGCCTCTGATGTGTGGGTTCGAACAGGGGTCCTCCCTGAGGCAAGAACAGGGTGGATTGTCCGACTAGAAGACAGGGGTCTAACATTCTTCCTGTGATCCTGGGCTTTTGGCAGTGTCACTGGAGCTTCTTCAGATGAATTATGATCCTCTGTCACTTCAGTTGACTGGAGATCAAGTTCCAGCTCTCCTGTCTTTCTGGAGGGTAACTGAGATTTACTTGGAACTCCTCGAGTCAAGACTTTATTCTTATATTCAGAAAGAAGACTCTTTTTATCACCAACACCAGGTGAATGAACAGATGACTGCTTAGAGGAAAGTGACATCTGCACTTGTGAAGAAACAGAGGAACTTTGAGAAGGAGATGAACCAGCATTCACAGGTTTTTTAACCCCTGAGTTGTCTTGAATCTTTGTTTGTTGCTGAGCAACTGAATCCTCTTTAGGAGCTGGAAAAAAAAAAGTGTTTATTCATAACAATAGCAGAACAAAATACAAGAAGAGAAACCAGTCAGGTAGCAAGAACAAGACTACTTAGGAGAACATGAGACAGTATTTATTTCTGTACTAATACACTTATGTGGATTTTTTGGTAACTTGAGTAAAACTTCAAGCAATTAAAATCAAATATCTATAAGTGGGGACTGCAACATTCGGTCAGCGGAACCAGATCTTTAGCAGAACTTAGTCACTTTTATGACAGCATGCTGCACTGTTCTGTCTAAGGCAGGACACATTTTTAATTTAGGATTCAGCAAAACCCCACAACAGCACCTCTTTGGCAAGGAGGCAAACACAGAGATGTATGAAAGTAGGCCAATTTAGCTGACTTTAAAGAGCAGGAGTTGTCAGGAATAGTGCAATCAGAGAACCAAGTATGGTTTTATTTGGCCTTTGCATAACAAGAGCACATGTATTCATGCAGCATACCAGGAAATAGAGTATGATGTGCCTTTATTTAAAATATTACAACGTTCATAATATTAGATGTGGTAGAGCAATGAATGCTCATTTATAAGCTTATCTACTATACAGAATCACAGAATCACAGAATCGTAGGGGTTGGAAGGGACCTCCAGAGATCATCGAGTCCAACCCCCCTGCCAAAGCAGGATCCCTACACCAGGTCGCACAGGTAGGCGTCCAGGCGGGTCTTGAATATCTCCAGAGAAGGAGACTCCACAACCTCCCTGGGCAGCCTGTTCCAGTGCTCCGTCACCCTCACCGTAAAGAAGTTCTTGCGCACATTGGTGCGGAACTTCCTATGCTCCAGCTTCTGGCCATTTCCCCTTGTCCTGTCTCCGCACACTGCTGAAAAGAGTCTGGCCTCGCCACTTTCCCCCCACAACTTAGATATTTATAGACCTGGATCAGGTCCCCTCTCCGTCTTCTCTTCTCAAGGCTAAACAGACCCAGTTCACTTAGCCTTTCTTCATAGGGGAGATGCTCCAGGCCCTTCACCATCTTTGTGGCCCTCTGCTGGACTCTTTCCAAGAGATCCCTGTCTTTTTTGTACTGAGGAGCCCAGAACTGGACTCAGTACTCCAGATGAGGCCTTACCAGGGCAGAGTAGAGGGGGAGGATCACCTCCCTCGACCTGCTGGCCACGCTCTTTTTAATGCACCCCAGAATGCCATTGGCCTTTTTGGCCACAAGGGCACACGCTTATCTGCTTATCTACAAGCATCTCTTTGGACAATATAATGATGAAAAGAGCTAGCAGAAATAGTGCTGAAGAAGTAAAATCCCACAGGTTAGATAGAGGGAGCACAGGAGAAGTTAAGAAAAGTCAGAGAATGAGTGTAACTGGAACCAAGGCAAGAATAGACAGACTAAGCAATTAGTGACTGGCTTGATGCTTACCTGCTGGGATGGCGACACTGAAGGCTTTAGACTGAGGACCGGGTCCCCTCCTGTTTGCTGCACGAATTTTGAAAATATAGCGCTCCCCAGCCTGCAGACCATCTATTATGGCTGATGTTGTAGCTCCAGAGTAGGTGATGGACTTTGCTCCAAAAGGCTTGAGAGCAGGGGCGTATGAAAGAATGTATTCTGAAATGATTTGGCAGACGGTTGGAAGGAGGAAACTGAAAACAGTCCTGTTTCCAGCGGACAGACTGTATGGGTAGGATGAATTAGAACGTGCATTACTAAAATTAATACACTAGCAATGCACGTCGAGTCAACAGCTGGAGTACAAAGACATGATATATCTACAGATAGGTAAGTTAAATAAATATTTGTTCATCTTTATCGAAAGATAAAAACAAATCATTTCAATGATCTAATGACTGAGATGATTTAAGAAATTTGTCTTGTTCTCGTCTTTCAGATGAGGGTTACAGTGGTACACATGCACCCTGCTAGTTGTCTGTAGGAAGGGATAACTGTGAGCATGAAGAGGAGCTTAGCCACATGTAGATTTCCTTGTCTTTTGAAGCCTCTATAAGAGGCCAAAACAGGATTCTGAAAATAAATTCCAAATGAATGAGTGAAAAACTCTAAAACTCTAACACTACTTAGAACATGGAATTTTTTTTTTTCTAAAAATTAGATTGTATTCAGTGCATTAAGAAATAATCCAAGCACTTGTCATCAAAACAAAAAAAAAGTCATGAATATGGAAACGCATTTGCTGCTTAGACAAAACAAACACCACATGGTATTAGAAGGTATTATGAATTTTGAATTAGATTTTTTTGTTTGTTTTAGAATGCAGAGGAGATGTTTAATTACAGAAAAACTGGTGTTACTCCTGGTAGCTTTCAAATGGCTACCAGAGGGCAGTTCTTTAATATGTGGTAGAAACACATGAAAGGGAAAGACTGCAAAACAAAAGGACAGAAAGACAAAAATCCCTGATTACACCATATACTATCAAAATGACTATGAAGTGCTAATCCAGTGGTTTCACTTAGCCAGTGTAAATATTATGTATGCTGTTTATTTAGTTTAAATATAAGGCCTCTCTTGTAATACTTCATAGCCAAGCAAAATGTAATGATACACTAAGTGCATATAAGTGTTCAGCCCATCAGTATACAGGTACCTTTAAAATAGTTCATCTAGTTGAATCATCTAAAGATCAGCAGCCAAATATGGAAGAGGGTTACAAACTGCTCAAAATTACAAGCAGATTTTAAATTTCAGATAATGTCACTGCATGATCTTATTTTAAAAATAATAATTCTTAGACAGAATTGCAGTTCTATTGAAGTAATTGGCAAAACTCCTTCTGAGTTCAAAGGGGAAAGAATTCCAGCATTGCCTGGAAGAATGAAGAATGCATACAGCAGATCTTTTATAGGGACACAGCACACTTCCCTCCAGGACTGGGACTTTTTAAACCCTGAGATGCTACAGTGCTGATAAGGCACTTCCAGAAACCTGTGTAATTGGAGAACACAATCCCATCAATCAGTGGGAATGAGAGAGGCCAAAAATCCGGCCTATTTCTTTTTGGAGGGAAAAAGGGGAAAAAAATCCAAGAAAGCTTTTTTTTTTTTTTTTAAACAGCCATGCAAGTTAATGGCCACTGATAAATGAGCTTTCCACTCACCTATGACAGTGCTACACTGCACAAGCCTTATGTGTGAAATCTGTTGAAATCTCTATTTGTACTTGCTTTATAAAGCATAGGCTTTCCTTCCACAATAATCTAGAAATAAAACACAGTACAAACTCACTCACATTCTTGGCAGCCACTCAACGCTTCCTTAGTTTTTTTGTTTGTTTGTTTGTTTTGCCTAACTGTTACAAATCCTTTGGGAAAAATCCTTCCTGAGCTCCATTTCAACCTGCTTAATGATGGAAGAAGAGGTAAGTATGCATGTGTGATACCTCAGGAAGCTCTCTGATATCCTGGGAACAAGGTGATGGCTTCCCAGCAGTGCAGTACAAAATCTGGACTGGAAACAAGGAAATCTTGCTTGGGTGTGAGCCACTAACAACCAAAGAAGTCCCACCACAATCAGAAGTTTCAGCTTGCTGTGTAGTGGCAATCCGCTTTTGAGAAGACCAGATACAGTTCAGAGTTACAAACTGAGGATGATGACTTACCTTTGACTTTTCCTTCACTCTCTGGGAGAGCATCCCAGGATGCTGCTACAGAAGTTGGTTTACCCTTCAAGGGCCAAACATCTAAATTTTCAGGTGCACTTGTAGGAGCTGTGAAACAGACAAGCAATAGAAAAGGCAATTAAGAAAGCATGACCTACACGGTGTATGCTTTTTGCTTCTTCTTCTCATGGCAGAAATGCCTCTATGGCCATTTCAAAGACAAAGTACATACAGAACTCAGGTCCATGCATGCCCCTATTACATCTCCATCAGGCTGATGCATCCAAAGGAAGAGGCAAGTCCACACTGCTGTGCTGTTCCTCTAATATACCCAAACCACCTCTCCCACTTTCATCTCACTGCAGCGGTGCTAGATCTTTTCCATACATACCCGCCTCTGGGGTTCGCTGGAAAACAGACACACTCCATTTGCCTTCCTTTTCTCCCTCCAAGATTTGGACAGCAAACTCATACATGGTATCTGGTGCCAAGTTCTCCACCAGCGCCCGCCGGTTGGACACCTGCTTGTAATCCCACCTTGCTGATTCTCCCTTTTCCCGATAACGAACATTGTACTGTCTGAGATTAGACACACAAGAAAACGAAAGTTCAAACACAAAGCACATCAGCAGAGTGAAAGCAACAGCCCCCGAGGTCCCAGCCCCATGTTGCTGCCTAGTCCCCATTCCACAGTGCTTACTTTTGTCTCCAGATGGTGAAGCACCCCTTACCAGCCACTGTCACAGGGGCATGCAAATTCCTGTGCCCTCAGCGAAACTGCTCCCCTTACCAACTGTTATTAAATAAATGCAGAACTATTCAGTACTGCATTGTCAGCATTTCACCTCCAGTATCCATTGAGAAAAGGACACATGAGATAACTACCGATTTGCTGCAACCTTCTGCTTTTCATACTGTGGGTCCGTCCAAGCAACAAGCACAGACTGAGAGGACATCACTCGAACAGTTATGTCCTGCACCACCTCCACCTCTTCCTCCTCTGAAATGAGAAAATAAAATGGCACATCAATAACAAGAATAGTGGAGATCTCATTTTAAATAAATAAATAAATAAATAAAATAAGACCCTATTAATTTATTCTATAATAGGCAGATAGCATGGATGCATAGCAAAGACAGTAGTTGTAGAAAAGCACGTGCATTTGCTTACAAGACTTGAGTACTCAAATATTGTGCAGTCCTTTAATATTTTGCTCAAGCAAGCAGCTGCAAGGCACACTTCTTTCAAATGGGCTATTAATGCAAATGGTTCTCAGACAATACAAGATTTTCCATTGTAAACAAACTCTCCTGCACAGCGGCAAAGAGTTCTCATCTACTACTCAAAAGTGGCTTAGAGGACTTACCCACAAAGAACACATATTTTTCACCACTTCTCATGATGGCAGTGTCTCATAAACAAGCCACAGAAGTGGAAATCTCTGCCTTTCTCCTGAAAGTGTTTGCTTGCAATGGGAGCATGTGAAAGGAGAAAGTAAGCATGAGAAATGGATGGCAACACCTCCACAGAGAATATGGGATTTTAATAAGACACAGCTCCCAGTTCTGACAGAGGTATTTTCCATCATCATCGAAATACTTGAAACAAATCCATCCACCCTACACTGTTCTAATCATAATGCAAGGGAGCAAGAAGGTGGCGTAGGCAAGGAGATGACTCAGAAATTCACTCATCCTTTTTGATTCCATCTACAGTATATGTGATACTTTTCCTCCAAAGGAAAGTGAACACTTTCCTATGACTTTGCTGACTGGGCTGACTGGAAATCAACTCTGCAGAAAACAAGGCAGAGGTGTGACAAGAAGGCATCTAGTTGTGGAGGTGCTGGCTTCCATTTAATCAAGCCTTCTCATGGGATTATTGCAGTTCGCAATGTTTGCCAATAGCAACAGCAGAGGAGATTAAAAAATAAAGAAGAAAGAAACAAAAACTCAACCATATTATGGGATTCTGTTTTTTTATTAATACTGCTCGAGACACAAGCAAAGACAACCACCAAGCACTTTAACCCACAAAGAAAAACCTATCTCTAGCATTTGCAGTCAAGAAACACAACGCTATCTCATTTCATTCAAATGTCTCCAGGAATCGACAGTTGATGTGAAAGAAACATACCTATGACTTTTCTTTTAGTTAAAGATGACCTATAGACAGGTTGACTGCGTCCTTGGGTACTCCGTGATGGCAAAGAAACCACATGAACTGATTCAGAGGCTGTATGTGGGAGGGAAAAACATACTTTTCTGTAAACTTTATAATTGTAAAAAAAAAAAACCAACAAACATCTTTACAGGTAAAAATCCATTTTATTCTTTCTTAAGATACAAAAGGATATGTAATTTATTTGGATTCATATAATTTATTTCATAAGTTTCGGTATGCATACGGTAAGAACAATAAAGTTGGTACTAGAAGCAGGAAAGCACATTATTAACATGAAAAAAACACATTACAAGATTTCTATACTCTCGCTTTGAGTTCCTCTCCTGATAATTTGATTATTTAAAAAACATTTGTCCTCCACCTTGAAAAAACAGTAGTATAAAAGAATGAAAACAAGAAAAACCATGTTACATAGAATTCTCATCAAGATGCACTATGATACCGAATTCCCTCTAAAATCTCGACCAAAAAAAAAAGATAAAACAAAAACCCAGAATACATAACACCTAGAGACAACCTCAGCCTGAAGAAACTTAGAGTAAGGATGAAAGCATAAGAAACAGAAGCAGCAGCAGCAAACACAGCAGCCAAGCCCTACAGAGAAACTCGGACCAGAAGAGAACTGGATTGCCAACACAACATTTGCACAGATGTGGAAGAACTTCCAGCTACAATGAGTCTCTTTCCAGAGCTTGGCAGAAAGATGAAAAGTGAAGAGAAGGGATGAGAATAATTAGGAGATCCCAGCTAGGGAAGGCTGTGAAACCCTGGAATAACTGATAAAGGTGACCTAGTAGTTCTCTCTCCCTGAATAAACCAAGATAAATATGTTCTTTTGTACTAAGCCTACAAAATAAAAGAGGAAGTAGATACTTAGATTACAACGCCTGGAATTCTGGCAGTCATACGTGATTTTTGAACCATCACCATTCTTGTAATCCAAGACCAAACTGTCTGTGGGACAGGCTTCCAATATACAGGAGAGATTAAGAATTTTAACCTTAAGCAAATGCATCCAAGCAGTAAAGAGCAGCTAAAACTTCCAAGAAGGTTAAAGTGAGAGCCATGAGTGCAGACCTTGAGCCCACTCAAGGCAGAGAGCTTACAGGACAAAGACAGGTAAGAGGAGAATGACACAACACAAAAAGAAATGCTCTGCTTTTAGAGAAACAACATTGCTGCAAACCCCATTGTTACAGCTAGCTGGAAGTCTTTTAGGTCAAGAGCATGTGATCTAATGAAGGAATGCAAATCATCACAGTATGGCAGGACAGGACAGGAAGCACAGCAGATGCCAACCTGACACAAACAACAATAGTGGCCAGGACCTCCCTAAGGAATTACTGAGAACATGGGCACATGAGGTTAACACTCCAGTATGGGTACTGTGAAACAGTTTTACTGGTAAACATGGATACCCTTAGTTAGTTTTTTATCCACTGGTCTGAAATAATGCAGGGGCACAATTTCTAAGAAGAGGAGAAGAAACAGCAGATTTGAGAGGTGCCCCACCACATGTGAGGAGACTGAGCTATGCCTCTTCTTCTCCGCCCTCCCTCTGCTATTCACACAGGTAACTTACACATGGTCTCTTTTTAATATATTTTACTATGCTTTCCAGTTTGGTAATCACATTTTCATGTAACACCAAACACACTTACAGCAAACATTTTCATTTATAAGAGGAAATAATTCTGATGGCTACAATAACATGATCTATGGCCACGTAGCAGCTACAGGCAATGACAAAGATTGCTTTTTGCCAGGAGAACAGCCTTGTCGGATACGGCAAGAGAAACCAAAGACACAGAACAAATCAATGGGGTCACTGACAATGGCAGTCTGGCAGCAGTTGTCCCCCAGGTGGTATCATAAAAGTCTGGCTTACCAAGTTTTCTTGCTTCCTGGTTTTGCCGTTCTTGCGGCAGCGGAGCATAGCTCATCCTTCGGCTGCTCTCTCCATACCCACGGATCTGCGATCTGCTGCGTGGACCCCTGAAGCCTGCTCCATAAGGTGGCCTCCACCGAAAAGAAAACCTGCCATCTGGAGACTGGGCACGAGCTCTCAGGGGTCTGCTTGGCATGTCCTTCTCTTCAGAAAATAAGCAAACACACACAAACCCCACCACAGTTATTATAAAGCATATGACATATATAGCAGCCCACATATATCTGTTGCAAGCACACGTATGAAATAACATCAGAACAAAGAATATAATTTTATAGTTTTTTTAATTTTGCTCTAAAACCCAAATGCAGAAAGAAGCTTTCCTAGCAGGATACTCCACAATGTCTTTTCTCTGGCACTTCAGACAGAGTGGTGCAGCACACCCAAAGTGAAAACACACTGTAGTACAAGAACTGCTGCCAGAAACCAGGATTGTCTTGCAGCTTTCCTGTTTAATCTTTCCCCATTTTTTATAAATCCCCTTTCCATAGTTCAGGCACACAAGAACATTATTTTTCTGGCAAGTGCTAAAGGTCAGTGTAAAATGAAGCACAGAGCAATTTCACTATTTTTAAACTTTTAGAAAGCAATCTACATTAAAAGCAGGTTCTCTTCTCCTTAATCCTTCACTAATGGTTCTGCTCACTGACAGCCTCGCATTTAACAGGTCTGTTCTACAAATGCCTCCACTTGACTTCACAAACTCCCACTAAGCGACACTTGAGCATTCAGTACTGTAGCAGGTACTTCATGTGAGCCATTTGGCAAGTTAGCAGTGCTCTTTTAAAAAGCAGCTATAAGGCAAGGATTCCTCAAACAGCTAATTTGCTTGCACTCAAACCCTCTCACCCATTGGCTAAGCCAGCTACTGTAACTACAGAAATGCCAGAACAAGAGCCTGGGACTGCACCAGCAGCCAGCTGCAGAGACCTGGCCAGACATCAGTGTAGTGAAGTACCCCCTGCCAGAGCAGCAGTGAAATCCTCTTTCCAGCATCAGCTTGGGAGCTCCTACTTATTTTCAGTTATGTTACCTGTGTATCAATGCCCCCATGTCCCCACATACTCCAGAAGCAGATTCTTTGCAACATTCCTGCTCAGTGACACATCTATAACCAAGCTTTTCATTAGGTCCTGATCTGCTGACAAAGTTTCACCTTCTCACAGTCTACCAATAAACTTTTATTCTAATAATTTATTCTTTGGAAAGGACCATAGTGACTCTCAAAGCTGTTTGAAATCTTTAAGAAATGCAAGATTTCAGTGCTAAACAGACATATAACACATGCAGAAAACAGCACACTCCCAGGGAACTATACTATTTTACACTGAAAACTGGGCAGCAGCTCAGCACAGTAAACTTTGCTGAAATTTTTATTTCACCTACAGAAAGACAAGATCATCATTTTAAACACACAGACTTAACTGTGCCTCCCTGATGGCTGCTTCTCACCAGTCCAACAAAACGAAGCAGCTATAAACTCAGATTAATCAGCCAATTAAATCAGCACAATAAAGAGAATTGCTTTCATGAGGCTCCCCAGTCACTTTTCAAGGAATGTTCAGTCACACATACTGTTGAACACCTGCTCCCACAGAATTTATTCTTCTTGCTCTCCTGAGCAGTTGCTGAGCACAGATTTCGGAAGCTCACCATTCACTGATCATACAGGCAGAAGTTTTCAATCACAGCATCACCACGGAGAAACAAAAGACAGCAAAATCCAAGTTGGAAGGAAGCCACAGAGGTGCCTGCCTGACAGAGCCAGACCACCTCCAACAGTGTGCAAGGCCAGCTCAGTCTTCAAAACCCCATGGACAGAGCTCACACAGTCTCCCTGTGTGCCTGCTCCCGTGCTGCACCAGCTGCCTAGAGGGAAAGTTTTCCCAAATGTCCCACCCAAACTGCAACTTGTGGCAGCTCACAGCAGCCTAACAGCATGAAACAGCAGCTTTCTTGTAACCCCGGTTCAAGCAGCAGCTGGCTGCTGAGGGATATCCCCCACTTTCCTCTTGGCCAGACCAGGCAAGTCCCACTCCCACAGCCTCTACCAGCAGCCCATGTGCAGCTGGCAGCCAAAACCTCCTCACATCTCAGCACCCCTCATAAGCCCCATCCTTGGAGATATTCAAGCCCATGTTGGATAGGACCCTGGACAGCCTGATCTGGTAGGTCACAGCCCTGTCCACAGCAGGCAGTTGGAGCACAATGATCTTTAAGGCCCCTTCCAACCTGAGCCATTCTATGATTCTATGAACTGCGTCCCATTGGACAGCCATTGTGGCTGTCCAGCTCTGGCCAGAAGGCAGTGATAAAAGCCCAGCTTTCTTCTCAGCAGTCCTGAACGTTGCTGAGCACTGAGAGCCTGCTGGTGGGGAGAGCAGGGAGTGACACTGCAGTGCATCAGCTCTGCTTCACCAGTCAAAGCCATGGCTTCCAACTGGAATTAAAACAGAGAGCGGTAAGTGACAAAGGATTCAAAATAAAATAGCCTAGCCAGAAAGCCATATGGCAAGAATTCAATTTAAAACAAATGTGGCTTTAAGCAAAGAGAATTTTACCGGTACTGGCGCTGAGTGAAGGAGATCAGCTGAGGTTTTAAAACCAGTGCTTCCTAAGGGTTCAGTTACTTTCCTCATTACGGCACATTTACTGCCCATTGTTTCTATTTTGCTAGTTAGCTTCACTCTTATTATTCTTCTTTCATTACAGTTTGACCAACAGGAAAGCATCCAGGACAGAGCTATCAAAGAACGGTTTAGATAGTCCTGATGGTAAATGTAGAACCACCAAAAACAGCATTTTTATGTGAAGCATGTGTCCAGCTAAGCAAGGAAGTTCTTTCTCATTAAGAACAAAGAGAAGCAGAATGAAATTTGTCCATGCTGCTGCAGCCCATGGCCTGGGAGCCATCGGCCTCATCCAGAACATGGCTGAAGGCCCTGACCTTGGACACAGAAAAAGACTGCTTCATCTTATATAAGCACCTGCAAGCTCGTCCCAAAGTGCTCAATTGCACCACAAAGCTGGACTCTCCATTCTCCACCTGTCAGGACATTTCCCACTCAGTAATTCCTCACAGACAGCAAGTCACTGCTTTCTGCTGTCACATCCCCCGTATCTGTGTGCTCTCTGCTCTGGTCTCTCCTCTCACATTGGCCTCAGCAAAAAGCATGGATTTCCACAGGAAGAGTAATTCTGAGACTGCAGTGGTTGAGGAACAAGAAAAGGTAACTTAATCCTACGGAGCATAGCCTGGTCCTGCTGGCCAGGCTCATTTGTCTTAAAACAAACAAACAACAACAACAACAAAAACAACACACAAAATTAAAAAAAAAAACAAATATTTGAATAATAACATTTTCCTAAACACCAGGTAGAAGGAATAAATAAATCTGGTGCATCATTCAAAGTAATTCAGTTCCCAAAGTAGTGATTCCTGTGGGGAGCCTGAACTCCTCAGGAACAACAGTCTTAAACAGCTCACAGTTCATGAAAAAAGAAAGGTCAAAGCACTACAAAGGTCAAATCCCATGATCTTCTTCTGTCACTAGGATCCAGGTGCTGGATGTGCACGTGGAAATGTCAAGACTTAGATTTATGAGAGTATGCAGTTTGTTTATTTGCCTTGCTGAGCTAAAGAAAACAAAAGAAAGCAAAACTTCTTGGGAAAAAAAAATAAGGCATTGTTTTCAGTCATGGACTAAGAGAGACGAGAACAGGTGCAAGATGGGGTTTGAAGGGGAGAGGCTGAAATGATGAAGAACCAGGGAAGTAACTACTTTATAGCAACAATATTAAATATTATAGTAATACTAAAGGCAAGATGGAAATATGAATACAAATGGAAATTTGGTGTAAACTGAGAAGAAACAGTGCTGAAATTGAGAAAAGGACAAGAGAGAAATATGGATGGAAATGAGAGATGGACAACTATAAAATGGATCCATTGGGGTGATGCTGGGCTTCGTCCACCTTCAACCAGACTTTGTACAAATTCTCTGGCTTCTTCCAAACAGTTAAAGTGACAATAAGAACTGGTTCACTTAAACACAAAAATCCAACAGGTATGCAAGTACAACAACAAATGGTAAAGAGATTGGTAAATTAAACCTCTTTCTGTAGATGGGAGAAAAAGATGCATTGGATTACAACTAGGAGTTTTCATTTCCAATGATGCAGAAAGTAGTACATTTACCAACAGATCTAAATACACAGAAACTCCCATATCTTGCTCACTACCTGGCATAACATATCCCCATGTCATAGGATGGATGCTTTGCACTGTTGCTCACTCCCAACATTAATACTACAGGTCTGTCCGGGCCTGGTAAGTCATTCCCAGATAGATGGGCTTTTTAAAATGGACTTCTTAAAATGGACAGTGAGAACAATCAGTTTTAGGGTCCCTGAGGCAGTGGGGGCATTTCCACCACTTCCTTCGATTGCCTATAGGCTGATCCAGCCAGGCATCTCTCCTTGTCTTGTACAGTGATCTAAACATAGGCAAGTTGCTTGAATCTTCAGTGGAAGATAACTCCAAAAGGTCCAAAGACAAGACTTCAGATCAATGCGAAAACTGAACAACTGACAGCTATGACAGTGCCTGTGATGAGACACGGTAGATCTGACATTTATAAAAGCACACAAGCCTGCAGTTATTGTTCCTCAGTTAATACCTACTCTGGCACACCAGGAATTCAACTGGATTTCAGCAAATTCTTGATGAGGTTCCAAAACCATAGCAATGAAAAGACTAACAGTGCAAATGCAGTCACTCCCGACATTTTTTTTCTAAATATTTTTTGGGATCGACTACCAAGCGATTGACTGAACTGAAAACTTATACTTGCCCATCTCCCCAAAACTTGCGCCTGTAAATACGACCAGACTTTTTGCCTGAAAACTGATTTAACAGTTTTGTGGACCTCCATTCTGGGCAAACTACGAAGATCAACTACTAACCATCTTAAGACCTCATCTAAAGTACTATCTGCAATTAAAACAAAATCAAGTCCTTTTCTACATTCAGGAAAATAAGAACGAGTGACTCCCCTGTGCTCTCTTCAGCACAGAAATATTAGCTACAGCTGCAGGAATTTGTATACTGAATCTTGGACCCAAAAATGCAGGGCTGATTAAAGCCCTGGTACTGACTTATCATAGTTGAAGCATTCACTAGTTTTGCCAAAGTTTCTGTGTGTGTCAGGACTGTGGGAGAACGTTTTAGAAATGATGTAAACCCAGAGTTTGAGGTCTAAGCTGAGGATAAAACATCCTCTAAACAACCACACAAGGAGGCAGCTTGCACTTGCCAAATCACACAGATTCTTCAGAAGGCCTCATCAATTATCGAGCAATGGAAAAACAGATCAGCTCCAGATGAAAAGGAAAGTACTGACCCCTAGTAATCAATCTGTAACTGTGGGGAAAAAATATCCCAAGCAATTCAAACCAATTAGAATATGAATGTAAAAAGTAGCTGAAATCTGAGGCCACCAAAAAAATATAAAAAAATTAAAAAAATTGGGCGCTGTTAATTTACCACCACAAATCTAAGTGCAAAATATTTGCTTTTGCCTTTTGCAGTCAGCAAGAACTTTTCTGCATTTTCTCTCCATATGTCATTACTTTCAGCCCTGGAAAACTGGACCTATAAAATGTGCTCCACTGCAGAGAGAACACGTATTTGGCAGAGATGGTAGACAACATTCATACAGTCTATAAACATCTACCAATATTTTCATTCCAGGCAGAAGTTTGGGAGGCTAAGCACAGTGACCCAAACTAGCAAACTAACAGACTGAAAAGAGACATTGCTTGGAGATAATGAGCTCATCAGAAAGTGATCAA